AAAACATCCGCGGTAATTCTCCGATAATACATTCCGTATTCGGTCCAGTTGGTAGTAGTCTAGCGATGGGTATGATAGAAAATCCTGGTAACATAAAGACCATACCTCGATATCCAAGATGCAATACCTATTGCATTCTTGGCTTTTTATTAAGATTCCGATGAAGTCGTAAAGTACCCTTTGTCTCGTCTGGATCCATAATATAGGAGCTTCCTTTGATTGGTCCAGTGTTCCAGAAAATCCAGGGAATAAAGCAATGAAAAAAACGCCAGGACATGATAAAAGTCCGAGGAAACAGTATCGCACAAATCAATTACGTCCCAGAGAGAAGATCAATTCCTGCGGCGCTGATGATGTCTGTCACGGTCATCCCTACTGTCCCGGTCACGCGGTCTTTGAGACGAAGAAGTGGCGGTGCCACTTCGTCCAGATGGCATTGGCTGAGAGTATGATACAGGTTCCTGGTATGATGAGCCTGGTTCAGTATATCCGGCATCTTGCATCTGGTAATCTGAACTTTCCGGGTACGCTCTGCTGTCGTAGATCTCCGGAGTGGATTCATAATTGCCTGATGGAGCAGCTAAATTGTTAGATTACGTTCGTTTGCGAGAATAAAAACAATTAAGAAAATGGATGCACTTGGGCGTACGCACCACGACTACTGTAGTAGGGATCTGTTGGTGCATGGGCGGCATATGCTGGAGTTGATGCAGGTGGTCCAGATTGGGAGTAGTACTGCGTTGCAGGTGCTTGGTAGGATGTGCTAGGTGGATATTGAGTCCTAGGAGTTGACTGAGGAACAGATCCGCCGCGGCCAGCGGGTGGTTCAGCAACAGAATAATTGGATCCGTGGATATAAGTCCTGGAGTCATGAGGGTATCCTTGGGTAGAAGGAGCATACGGTTGTGATGATGGCTGGGTGTAGCCATCATTCTGGTAACTTGTGGGCTGGCTGTAACCCGCCGAGTAACCCTGGCCACTTGGTTGATATGATTGGGAACTGGGCACAGCAGCCGATGGTGAGTTATACATCCCTTGTTGTGCAGCAGGTCGAGGCTGTGTTGCATCCATTCTATCCATTCGAGCAATAGATTGATCGAGTGCATTTGAACTTCTGTAGTCCACTACTATAGGGGTGTTAGATTTTCGAACCATCTCGTTCGAATCCCTTAAAGAGATACCATTTGTAGGGTATTGTGCATTCGATCTAGCAAGTCTCTCAGCTCGCCAGTCTGCAGACGCCTGCTTTAAATCAAATATCATTGCCTATACCCAGAATTCATCAGCGACATCACTCAATCGATATAACGCGACATTACATTTGTAAGATTCCTGTAAGCTGTGATCACGTAAACAGGCTTAAGTTGTTTCGTCCTCGGGTCCTGTAGGTGAAGGCATTAGTTTTCCATCGCAGATTCAAGTCTGAAAATTTGGAGGCGACTTACTTCCACGTCACCCGGTTTGACGAGAGCATCGTTACCAAGATACCGGCAGATATCGGCCGTGATAACTTCTCTGTCGATACCTTCAGCGTCAATAACAAACTGGCCCGTCCTGCCAACAGATGAGTGTGGTGGCTGCGGTTGCGAGCGCGAAGCTCTGCTATCTCTATCGTCACGTCGCGACATGATGATGATCCAGGAAAAATTTGGTGAGAAGAGAAAGAGAAGGACCAGAAGTGAGGATTTTGGAATGCAAATCACACACAAGTCAGCCTAGGGAATAAATGTGGTAGCACACAAAATAACCGGTGACAAATTGGATAGTCAGAAAACGGCCTAGAAGAAAATCCTGCTTAGAGAAGTGGAAAACTTTCTCAATATCCGGGGGGGGGGGTATGAACGGGAGCCTCGAGAAGAAGTAATCCTGTGGAAGTAAGAGAAAGGATCGGTTGGTCCTGAGTAACTTTGAAGTTTGGAGGGCGTATGAGAAAAGGGTGCAAGATTTGAAAAGGTCCTATCCAATCCCAGAGAGTAGTAACGCAGAAGACGCGGAAGCTGGTATAATAATGTCGTGTAATATGAAGTCGTACTCCAGGAAGAGGCAACTAAACAATTTAACCTTTTAAACGAATAATGACTGGGATATTTTCTCTGAGCTGGCGATTTGTTTGTTCCCCTTGAGTGTTTTTTCGATGGTAATATTGACTCTTGTCTTGAAGACTCACTCAAAAGAAGAATTGATTTTTAGATAAGACGGTGAGAGGAAGAGTGGGAGAAAGTGGCAAAAGCGAGAGAAGGCTGGGTTTCCGAGGGGTGGTGTGTCGAGTGTGTGTCTTTTTTAACCCCCTGTCGACTGTAACTGTAGCTGAATATCCGTTTAGGAATGGTGCAGTTTTAATGGTTTTAAACTGGCCGCTTTTAAATATCGCGTCCAGCCCAACCAGTCAAAAGAATAACTATTGAATAATTGGACAACAACAACCAGCTGTATAAGAATGCGTGGAAAATTGAAAGATTTGTGACGGGATTATGCTTATTATTTTGTTTGGAGAGGAAGATCTTTTCCAATCGATTTTTTTAATGAATTTGATTTGATTTGATTTGATTTGATTTGGTCTGATTTAATGTTCAAGAAAATGATTGAACTTTCTTTTTGTTGAGGAGGGAGAGAAAAGAAGAGGAAGAAGAGCAGGAATGGTCTCTCTCTTTTCTTCTGCGATTATCCAAGGTAATTAATACGGGTTGCTATGGAATGCAGTCACAATACCAAATTCTTGTTCTTGTAGTCAAGTACTGTGATCGGGATATGACGAATAGCAAGTGCAATGCAAAACCAAATGTGGGCAGAGTGAGCGAGCCAGCCCTGTTTTCTTAACCCTCCGAGGTACTTTCGTACGGGAGTATATAACGGAAGGGTGACTTGAATATGGAATGGGTCGACAAGTGTGGCGTAAGGTTGAATATGGTAAGGTGGAAGATAGTGATGGCACCGATGGGGTTTCAAAGAGGGGCAGCAGCAACAACAACGGCGGTGGCAACTCAAGGGAAGTATATAGCTAGATATGTTCAAGTACCTAGGTATGTACGAATACAGGATAGAGATAGAGATAGAGATAGAGATAAATATGCCTCGTTATAGCTAGGCGTAGGAAGAAGTCTCGAGGTGCTTAATAGTTAACCAATTAAAAATTAAATGTTCGTATCGTTTGTTCAAAGTTTTATATCTTCATGTCAGGAGTATAGTGAAAAATGTCGACATGAATCATTAAAAAAAACTCTAACCAAAACCTTCTTTATGTTAAGGGCATCTTTGGGTATACTTATTAGAAAACTTTCACCAAATCAATCGATATCTCGCCCTATCATCAGCAGCTCATCAATTCATCAACCCATCATAATCTCCAATCTTCTCAAGCCTGAACTATTGGATCCAGCCAGGGATCAAAATCCAGTCTATCACAGTACCGTTCCATGATGATTCGGCCCTACGACCAACGACCCAACGTAAATTCTGGGTTCTGGGGAATATAGACTCGCCGACTTTGCCAGAAAGTGGAACTTCCTTCCTTGCTACTACAGCGGGAAAGTAGGGAAATAGATGGATGGCACATTGAGTGTGTAAAGTGATCGAAGATGACGCGTGAATACATCAGAGGAGAATATCCATCCTGTAATGAGCGACGCCGAGGTTCCCTTTGACCACTTCTTCGTTTATCGCAATCAAATTGTTTGGTCAAATCTGTATCGAAACCTTTTTACCTACCTTGACCTTACATGAATATGCTATGCTATGCGATGCCCTGTGCTATACTTACTACCCACACATGTTGTGCACAGGATTCTACCTGTCATATCACATTAATATCTCAATCTACTAGACCAAGGAACCAATGGAAGATGTAAGATTTGACCCCCAATGCCGACCCTCGAATTGCACAACAGAAACAATCAACGCTTGAATATTCTGTGAAGAACGAACAGGAACTGGAACAGGAACTGGTGATGGTGATAGTGAATGAGATCCAAAAAAGCAAAGGGCAGCCAGCGATTCCTGCAGTTTTGCTGGCAAGGTTTGTGATCTTGGTAGTTTGGGTGGTCTGTGATTCTTTTGTGGCGCGAAATCAATCGGGTTGGGTATTGATGCATCCCAGCCTAACGCAAGCAAAATGCTGCCTAACCCATATAAACTTCAATTTCACAGGTTCACAATCGTTCAAGTTAATTTTCATTTGTCTTTCGAGAAGCCATCATGATCCTTTTAGACATGGATTAATTTAAGGCACATTGACAACAAATCCATGCGACTGGCGTTTGTAGATTGTCCAGAGTCACTAAAGGCCTACCGATAATCCGATAATTTCTACTCTTCTACTTCTTCTCACAACCACGAGGCTTTGGATCTCTTTGCGTCTTACTGTATATGTACAGTAGGTGATGATGTACTCTGCCGATCAGGATATCTGACGAGAGACGAACGACTCAAATTTGGTAGGGCTAACGGCATGTCTTTCATCCCATCCAAATAATGGGGCTTCGTGTGGGTGAGACATTATCTATTGTTCTTGATGCCTTCAATATTGCGCATGACCGTCCTGAAGATCCAAGTACGAGTGTTGCTTGTTAAATCTGACAGCCTGGATCCATGGCAAACCTGCTTATCATTTGTAAGGCCATACTATGGCCGGGTGGCCGGCTCTAGCTGAACCTCTAGAAGGAATACTATCGCAGTAATGGTCGTTATCGCATTACTCGTAGCTTCGAAAAGATTATATTCTACAAATTCGTTGTCCAATGGAACTCATACCGCAAAAATTGTGTTTGTACATCCGGACATCACGTTGCATCTAAGATGTGCGATCCCGATGAGCACATTGTTCCAGTTGCACAGTATATCGGAGCATGGTTGGAGCATGAATTGGCCGTCTCCTGGAACCATAGGGCTCTGTCCATCAGCATGAGTGGTAAAATCTCGGCGCATTCACCTATAAGTCAAAGGTATCGTGTGGCACTTCAGGATAGGGTGAAAACGTTGTCGGTGAGAGTTGTTTCATCTGTTTTTCATTTTCCAAATGTCAACTTGCTTTGACCCTTTTCTGGTCGGCTACCACGTCCATTGCCTCGTTTCTTCGATGCCACACCCCTTTTGTTGGCGGAGGAAGGAGTAGGAGCTGGCGATGTACGCCTTAAACGATCCTCATCATGAAGATCCTTAGCGAAATGCCAATCCTGATGACTCTGAAATGCCTCCGCAGAGTCTAGCGCCTGATTGCAACGGGTGCATAGAAATTCTGTAATTTGTGTTTGTTTTGGGGCAAAGGGATTGGCTGATGTTTCTGGCCTTCTGGCCGCCTCATTCTCTTGCGGTAAACGTGCAGCCTTGAAATCCACTTTGGGAAGCGAATGCCCCTTTTCCTCATATGCGATACCTGGCCCGGCTAAATTCTGCTCACCGCCGAAATCATCATCGTGCTCTTCGACGCTATCTGTCTTGACGAAGAATTTCTGGATTCCTGCATCAAGTATACGACGTCTCTTTTCGGGTCTCTCTGCAGATACGTTCGGCTCTCGCGGAGCTGGATTATTTAGAGTCCTGGCTTCATCGCCTTTGACCAAAAACGCCCCGATACCCATGTTACCAGTGGGCACTCCATCCTCAAAACTGCCTACACTTAAACTCAAATTAGAACAAGGCCATACCCTCCCATCAAGCATGATTTGATTCAGGAGTGTCTTGGCAAGTTCAAAAAGGAGTACCTCATCCATCTGCTTTCCTTGCGGAATGGGCGCTTGTCGAGATTTGCTTTGGGCTCCATGTCTGTGGTGCAAATTGATCGTCTTGGGCCTTCTTTTGTTCTCTAGAACCCCTCCTCCACTAATCGGGATTGTATATCCGCCGCAAAAATGCGGAGCCATCTGTTAGCCTGCTCGGGAGTGTTGATACTAGGTCGAAACGATTTTGCAGATAACATTGACTTTATCTGAGTTCGTAAATTGACATCACTGACATCAATTCCACGAATGACGTTGTAGATCCACGTCCCGGTTTCGTCTCCTAATTTTTGTTTTAATTGCTCCATGGGAACAAGCAACAGATCATTGACCATATCTGTATTAAATAGCTTGACCACTTCCTCACCTGTCTTGCCTCCCAAATTTCTAATCTTGGTAAACTTGAAGCCTGATAAAAATTGCTGAATTGCCCGATTTCGGATAACAGTTTGTTGATTTGGCTTTTTATGCGCGGAACCCAATTTAGAAAGCATTTTGTTTTGGGCAATGCCGGCCGAACAAGTATATTTGAGTTTCTCACGTATTGCGGCCCGAACTGTGCGTACGATTTCAGAACCAATCAGCATTGCTATATCATCCCAATCTGGGTCATCAGTTTCCGCCTCATCCTTATCTAGATCCACGAGTGCATCCGCTTTCCAGTCGAGAAAAGTCGTGGGGGGTAGCGGCAGTTGTTCCGTCAAATCATCATAGGGAGCAGGACCTCTCAACTCAGGATATCTCTCCAAAAGCGTCGCATGGACTTGGGCAGATAGATCCATGAAAACTTCATCTACACTAGCTTTTTCTACTCTCTGCAAATCTTTGGGTAGACAATCTTTTATACAAGCCAATATCCGTTTTGATTCGAGTCTGTAAGGATCGAGAGAGACCTTGTGTGTAGCAATATTCTTAAAGGCATCGTCGTGATAGGCCCATTTTTCATCGCCTTCGCGCCAAGTCGCAACATGTTGACATATGAGATCTGGACAAAGCTTCTTCGCTTCTGTAATAGTTATATGACGGTTGAGACCAAATGCCCTGGCTGGATAATTGATAGCTATGAGACCTTGCCTATGTTCAACCCACGTATTAGCTTCAGCAAACCCTCGAAAAAGCATGATGGTCAACCATCCATTAAGTAAAGAATCCTCACCATTGTTGTACAGCTAATGGTTTGTCCTCCTCAGTTCCTAATCTTACCATCTCAACCTGCGCATAAAATGCGTCAAGGTCGAGATGCGTAATCACCCTCAGAGGGCATGACGTTGCAGAAAGAGCCAACTGTGCGAGGTGCCTATACGTAAATTGGCTCTTCTTGCGACGCGACGGTGAGCCTTGCAGAGGGGACGATTGCATAAAAGGTTGCGGAGAAGACATGACTTTGGATTTTCGCTCGAGAGCTATGCTTTTGGCGTAGTAGATTCGCTATTCCGTGGCCATAATTTGTACATGCGACAACTGAAGTATTGAAAAGATATTCTGAGCCCGAGAAATTAGACTCGATGTCATAAAGCAATTGCGCAGTCTTTTTGGAATGTTCGATTCGAAGTCGAACATTAAAATAGAATGAATGGTATTTGTTGAAACGTTACGATAAGGAAAGTCCATTTGTGTCCAAAGATGATAATGATACTCTCATACATCTACCACTAGGATAATGAAATGACTTTGAGTCTTACCTTTGGATAAGAGAGCATCCAGCTCAACCGTTGATTGAAGAGATTGATGAACGGTGTAGACGCGTTAAAGTGTATTTTCCGTTTTCTTTATAATGGGAGACGTGACTGTGCGATGTACCGCGCCTTAGAAGTATTCCGTGCTGATGTCATGACTCTGTAGTGGAGTAGAGTACTAGGTACCTAGCTTATGATATTGTGCCTCACGAACTCACATATATGATATATATCCTTTATTGTACATTCTGTATTTATATATCCCTATTTATTCTAATTTATTGACCTCGATTTATTTTCATCTGGCTTTCAACTGTATTCAATAATTCGAATTGATCATGTCTTTTCTACGAAACCCCGCAGCTCTTTTTGCTCTAAATCTCACTACGTTGGTAGGTGTTGTGGGAAGCACCTACAACTTAAGATCGCATATGGTGGAGCTCTCGGAGGATCATGAAGCAAGAATGGTACGTAGAAGATTTCTTTTGGGTTGATAGTGGGATGATTGCATCCAGAGAAGGTTAGTCGCTCAGAGGCCAACATCACAGTATCACACTGGAGGATACCCATCACCCGGTACAGGGGATTGTCTGTAGTTGGCACAATCTCCGTTTATCAGGTCAACTATCAGTCTAGCACTCATCTACAAATAAGATTCATGGTTTTCACTGTAACCATGCGGTTGTACCTTCCTTGACAGTCTATACTCGTACCTTATTCCGGCCTCGTACATCAACGGCCATGCTGTTAATCTCGACTTGATAGCCGTTTTCGAGCGGGGTTTACAATCAGGAAATGATTGGCCCCCAACAGATCATCAGGCGTTGGGTAGACCCATGAAGATACTGGCCAAGTTGAAATTCTTATGCTTTCTCTTCCACCGAACCATGTTTCTTGTCCCAGGTTTTTACGCTTCGAATTGAGTGAACTTCATTGTGTTAACACATCTTCTGCAGGATGAGTTGGAGGGTACCTTGAGAGGACATATTGGACTTATCGAGGATGCTCTTGATAGATTAGAAGGGAAGCCAAATGGAAACAAGATGTAAGACCAGACAAGACATCTCTTGAAAGAATTGGAATGTTGACATGGTTCTCTGAAGGGAACAATATTATGGGAAAAGAGCTAGGGATGAGAAGAAAACTTAATTAGCCGGCAGATGAAATCTGATCTCAGAACTTCCAATTGAGATGGCATAAATCAAAATCGGATCGGTGATAGGTGCACCTAGGAACATTGCATCTTTTTCGGGACTAGACTGCTTGTAAAGATGGCCGTTCATGCGGTTTCCTCACGCATGTGAGCTTTTTGGGATGGTGATCGGTTAAAAGAACTTCGCCTCTTGCACATGAGGCTCTTTTGGTATTAAGATGTGAAAATGAAAGAAGTGATGGAAGGTATTAAACTGAAAAAGCAGTCAATTTGAGAGACACTGTTACTGTCTTTCACACAGAATCAAAAGAAGATATGATGAATATTATAATTCTTTGTATAGATGCCTACCCTATCATTCTAGCACCAATGTCGTATGGGTTTGCCTTTCTGGCTGCCGGCTTTATCTTGAGTCTTGAGTCAAATGTTGATCTGACTGGTGTGACATGAGCTAAGATTACTCGAGAGCAAGTAACCCTGAATGCTAGCTGCAGTTGTCATGCTTATATTAGATTTAGCCAGCACTAGTTGCATATCTCATGTTACTCATCTATCAAAGTATTTGCGGCTCAAAGAGCGGCTCCTTGAGGATGGTGCGGCGAACAGAAAGCAATTTTACTTCGTACGGCTTGATTCTGCAGTCAGAATATGGATCTTCCCTCGAACCCCAACTGACTGGCATGATGTCACACAACAGAGCAACAGGTCAGAGATGTAAAACCCTTATTGCTCAGTCAGAACTCGGTTCTCATATATGCGAATGACACGAGGCTGTGAACATTATTTAGATCCTTTCCCCAAACACGATATTTTTAATGTTTTGCAAAAATGTGAGATTGGTTTGGACGCTTTGCTAGCAAACATCACCCAGTTACTACTCTCATTTCTCCTCACGTTCCTCCTCTTGCGGTGAGATATAGCCCCAGCCGTTCAAATTCGAAATAAGAAAGTCATCATAAGCTTGAGCACCGCACTTAAGAGTACTGGGGCTAAGAATAGGCGTATGAATCACTACATGTAACTCCCGGTTCTTTGCTAGCCTTACCAGAATGTCCGGCCACAAAGATAGGTCGAAGGATTCAGTGTTTTATTGTGGGAGTTGGAAAGGTGCACACTTCAAGAAATAGAGATACGTCACCTCTCCCAAGATTTGCGGTAGTGATTTTTACTTCCCTTCAAGCTATTCTCGTTGACCAAAATTGTAGGAATTGGAATGCAATTGACTATACCGGGGAGGCTGGTTGAACAGCTACCTTGCTAAAGCTCGTATTGTGACCGATCATTGAAGCGCGCTTAAGAATTTCAGGATGCCGTGGATTCAAGGGCAAGCCACTTCGGATGTATGCCCGCAATGGCTAGACTTTGGTACTCACATCACTATTTACCTGGTCCATATCTCCACGCGCCCTACACTAGAGTCTTCCTAACTTTCTCGTTCATCGCGTAATCGCGAGTGCCCGTCATTCACCGGTGGATCGATTGATGAGCTTCCACGTAGCTTCCAAAATGTTCTCGCCTACGTCCAAGGGGCTTATAAGCAGATCTTCGGTGACAAACGACCCGGCGAGATGTGCCTTGTTCCAATGGAACGGTTCCTAAAGGATTCTGGAAAGAGTGACGTTACACGAAGAGACCTTTCTCGACAACAAACTTGCAGACTTCCATTGTGTCATTGCAACTTACGACCGAAATACTCTCTCCATCGATACCAGCTGCGCCACCTCCCAATGATGATCCGGGAGAAACTTCACTGCTGGTCACAATGAACGGTGGAGACTTCGAGGGGCACGGCGCCCATCGTTTAGTTGCGATATTGGGACATCAGTCATAGGGGCGTCGAAAAGGTGAACAACTTCGATTTAGTCTGCGGAACATTAATTTTTCGAAGTATTTAACAGTGTTGCTCCGTCCAGACAATTTGAATCCGCATCAAGATCATCTCAACATTCAAAAACAGAAACAAGACGCAGCATTCACGCAATTTATCGGCATCTTCCACCTAAACTCACTGCTCGCTGTTTCACAAAGAAAATCGAAACTTCTCAATAGGAAAGGAACCAAAGCTCAAGGTATTCGAGTCTTAAAGCCCTCTTGATCATTGTAATGTATACTGATGATACAGATCTATAATGTCTACATATACTGCAACAAATAATCCGAGCCTGGAGGGATGGTGGGTATGCTGCAAATGCCCACGAGAAGTCGATTCCAAGACATGGGGTTGGTACTGTCCCGATTGCTCGCATCCCTTCTGCAACTCTTGTTGCGTTGCCTCACAGCAGGCTTGGTATTAGACACCGACTGCTATCGAATATGAGAGCAAACAGCTCGTATGGGATATGATAGTGAGGAGGATACTGTGGTAAAGAGTTGGAGGAAGGTTAGATTAGCTACCGAGCGGTGTTCCAGAGTGATAAAATGGCTGTGCGTGGGTCAAAATTTGAAATATCTTTTGTTGGACAGGAGCATGGGTTGTTGGTCTTGATCTTGAATGACGAGATCCTCATTTATCTCTTTGTTTGGTGCGGAAAAGCTGTCGACATTGGTTATGGAGTTCGCGATATCGGTTGGCTCCGTGAATTATGGTTAGAGGAGTTATGATTTATTTACTTCCTTATGCCGTATCATATATCCAAGACCTCCGGTTAGTGATATCATGAGTGTTATCATGTCTGAGTATCAATCTGTTGACTGCTTCAACAGCACGGAAATCCTCTCCTAAAAGCGAACCGTAATAACTGAACTCACGTTACAATGCTCTAAATGCCTTATATTCTATCCCAGGATGATGTATCGGATAGCCTATACCTTTAGCGAGTCCCTTGCCTCGTCACTTACGCGACTATTCTCCCTAGTGTTTCGAAGGTTGGCAGAGTCTAAGAGATTGCTGCGAGGTCTGGTCAATAGGACCATTCCTATTTTGCGGATATAATCCATTCTTATGGTTGCTTTCAACAGTCAACTAAGATTTGCATGGCTGGTATGGAAGCCCATTATTGAAAAGGTAGGAAGTCATTTAGGAGGTATGTGCCCACCCATAAACCCTTCGAAGCTCATCTGTAGAAACATCCGCTAGCCCTAGTTCAAGCAACTGTAACATCTACACTGCTTCATAAGACGGTGCAGTGCCGATGATATTAAAGCTTACCGGTAGCCTTAGTCTTCCTGTCTCTGCAAGCTTTGCTAGCAACAATGAACCGAGAATACTAACAAGGATGAGTGCCCGGAGAGCTTAAAGGTATTACTTTCTATTCCAATGCCTTTCTAAAGTCGAATTAGATTAATTATTACATTTAGTGCTTCTATATACTGGCATCGTGATATACCTAACGCCAATTTCATATATTGTGAGTGCTGATTTTGTAGCAAAACTCCGCTTCAAGCCAGAACGACTTCCATTAATTTGTGAATTGATTAAAAAAGTAGTGAACCCATATCATCTATGGCGTGAGTTACGAGCGCGGAGATCTCGCAGTTCTGTCTCATCCGTTTTTCGTCCCATTTCTTCGTCATTTGGGCTAAAATGTCGCCCCGATTTACTCGCTTTGTCTTTCTTATGGCGATTTGGCCTGGTCCGTTGACGATGTCCTTCAGGACGTACCTCATTAGGTGGAATAAAGCAAACTGAGGCTCGAATGCGATCTACAGATGGGCCAATCGAGAAGTGACTCTCTGTATTCTCATGGTTGCAACAAGGGCTTCTCTTCATGGGGAGAAACCAGTCAAAAAGATGTTCTCCCATGACAGTCTCCCAATTTAATAGAGCGGATCCAAGATCCCAAGGATTATCGCCGGGGGTTAGTGTCTCGAGTATTGCAAAGGTACGCACAGCCCTTTGGTCTCTATTCAACCGCTCAGTATTTTCTGTCGGTTTTTGGAGCCCACCAATTGCTGGTGCTTCAATATTTTCAGACGACGAAGGAGCGGTTGACGAATTATCGGCGATGCCGGCTTCTGTTGATTCCGAGAGCGAATGTCCAGGTTGCACGCTCCCGTTAGCTGGCTCGATTGTTGCATTGACAGGCAATCCTGTGAGACCAGCCATTCGCCTTGCGTCATTGACTGAAATTGGCTCGGACAAGCGATCGTGCCTGATAGTTTTAACATACGGGCGGTTTACCCGGATGCCGTCAAAGGGTGCCGGAATGTCTAGCGGATACGTTATTTCGGAATAAGTTTGCGTCGAAGCGGCTGTTACACTTATTTCCGCCAACCTCTGTGGGGATGGCTTTAGTATTGCTAGTCGATGGATCTTTCCAAACCTAGTAATGTCTTCGACTTGTGTCAAATTATTGATTGCGAGTCTCACGGATGTCAGGAACATCGTCCCCGTGAACAGGCCAAAAAATGCAGCTCTAAATTGTTGGTCAGTAATGAAGCGCATCACGAGGATCATTAGCTTACAGTGCAAGAACGGCAATGAACTGGTGGTTAACAGACACGCCCTGGTTGGCAAAATTAGTGCATGTCAACAATACTCTGCTCTCGAGCCCCCTATTTCGATCAAGTGCAAATCTTCAATTGCATTTGAAAGATTGGGAAAATGAAAGTCTATGGGTCAATCATACCTGGGTGCTACGCTGTCGATGAACGTATACTGCCATCACTACAAGGACATGTATACAAAATAAGGAGGTGTACCCAACAAATTGAATAAAAAACTTGAAGTTGTTCTCGCCGATAGGCCCTCCTACCCTACACTTTGTTAGCCACAAAACAAGAAAGGAGTTACAGTGGACAAACCATGGGCAATAATGATCCATTTTGTATATACATCTGCCTACAACACTACAGTGGTGCTGGCGATCCAATTTCCATATGCAACACTCGGAACACCATTTAGGCTTCCCATCCTTTTCCACACCGAAGACATCTTTTGTGTAGAACAATTCGAGTCCAGGAGAGTCTGGATCACTCTTGGATCCATCAAAATCCCCTGAAGTGTATTCTCCCCCGCCAATATCATCATTCGTTCGTTTGCTTCTACGCTGGATCCCAGCAGCTCCAGCTCCAAGTGGCGCATAAGGAGGATCGAAGGTCGTCATATACACAACTCGAAAAAAGGACGAGGCCATGAGGACGAACAACAGAAAATATATTATAAGAATGGGCACTGCGGCGCTCTTACTTTTCTGTTTGACTAGAAGATAATTTACTGGAAAGCAAGATGTTAGCAAGTCATATTGAATGCTCATGTCATTCTCCCCCTTACCACAAAGAATGGCCACTATGACATATGTTACATAGCCAACCACACCCGCCAGTGCGAAGGGCATAAAACGCGCAGTCCATATGTTCGCAGCGCGTTTGTTGCGTTCAACATCGTTGTGCGACATGATAAAATAGTCGTTGGCACGAGTGCCAATAGTGAGAGTAGTGTCCGAACCTGCAATAACGATTCATTACAACAGGTACTTAAGTATGTATACTGTTGAAGATGTTGTAACTCTTGATGTTGAATAAGTATATGCAAACATCTCTTTCACGGTAAGGTATGGAATGTCGAAAAGAGGTGGTGAAATTGAAGCCTGTAATGCGTTTGCGAATGTCGATTTACAAAATGATTCTTCGAATTAAGGTTTCTGTTTTCAAGCTTTGAGACTCAAGAGATTGGCGTTTGTGGTCTAAGATTAGAATGAACGATTGATCCACAGCACGACAGTACACTTTAATTACTAGGTAGGCACTTATCATCCACTACCGGTAAGCTTAATTTGAACCCGACGGACGACACGTGAATAATTCCATTCACGCCAACATCCCCCGCGTTTATATATATCTTTTCCTATCTCTACGCAGAGTCTATTAATTCAATTGAACTCTTATATTCAACCCTTCAGAAGTGACTTTATCGTTGCGACATATTAATCTATCGATAGATAGATCCTATTTTGATCGACGATACATGGGTCAAAGAGTGAACCTGGTCTTAGGTATCGCATTTAATCTCTAAGTCCTAGATGTCACTTCAATCTCTCCCGTCCACAAAGTTGCTCGAGAGATCATAGAGCACCTCCAGGGGTTTCTGCTCGGCGAGTGAAACTATACTGATTCATCCTGTTCTATCCTTGGTAGAACAATCATCGCCTGACTACAGCGGCCAAAACTAAGCCGAAAACAAACAGATATCACTCCATGTTGGCGGCAAAGATCTTACCTCTGATTGAATCGAACGCCTTGGGCGAAGGAAAAGTTATACAGCTGTTGGATTTTTACCTTTCCATGCATTTCGGTATCGTATCTGGGCATACTCTGGCTTCCAAACTAACTCTTCTACTTATTGTTTAACAATCCCTCACGACGTAGGAAGGCTGGTCTTAGTCTTTTCCAGGTGACCTTCCTTCACACCCTTTTAGATCCAACACCTTGACTCTTTCAAACAACGAGAGTCACATTAACATGGGTGACCCATACTAGAAGGGAGCGGCAACATGTCTCTTTGCTGATAAGGCTAGCGCAAACCACTAGCGAACCCCCTCCCCTCTATAGCCATACAATTGTAACGAGAAGGTCCGAAGCTTTGGAAGTATGAAGATGCCTCGAATGAAAATACGGTAGGCAATTCGATCAGAGGATGTGATGAGTCAATTGCGGCTCCTTTAACCTCCATCACCAATTTGTTTTAGCTGAAGTACGTAAGTTAATTTCACAACCGAATATTATCGTCTATATTAGACAGTGAGACTCCCCAGATTTTTATTTCATAAATGCGTGGATCTACTGGAGTTTTGTTTCTAGCACAAGATTTTGAAACTTCTAAATCTCACTGGAAGCTGTGGTATTCTGAAGTAATGATCTGTCCTGTCAAGTACAAAGAATCATTTGTACCCAACTACCTACTCTACGAAAAGAATTATACGCCCTCACTAACTACCCGCAGGCTACTCGACAATACCGAATCTACTTTCTTTCATGGTCTGATAGCAAACAGATCGTTGTTCGGTCCAACCGATCTGGACTCGGTTGTCCCACTGATGCTCTGGGCGGCTATACCATACCCAAGATTAGACCTCGTCCCACAGAACACAATTCGATGCTATACCGCTGAAAGCTTTTTGGCATAATAGTTACCAAGAACTTATCAAGCTCTGAAAGCATTATCGACAATGGCAATTATTGAAGCGTGTTATGATTTAGGAGGCTAGAATCTTATTGGAGTGTGACCGAAAGAGACGAAACTATACTGTCTATTCGTACGATGACTCGAGCTTGTCACGGTGTCCTGTGTACTTGAAGATTCATTGAACTCATCTTCACTTGACTTGAGACCTCGATCTTCCCCCACACCAAGTATCCCAAGGGCCAAAATAAAGTTACAACCAATTCAACGCTCTCGATTTATTTATATCGAAATTCAGCAACCTCAGCGACCCGAGTGACCTTTACTTCTGGATGCAAATCATTCATAGAAGCTCAGTGTAAACGGCTGCTCTGAATACAACCCGACGTAACATGGATCGTTAATTCAATATCATGGGAACGCCGGTATCTCAACCAAGAATTACTGAAGCTTCACTCCACCGATGTTTTGGCTGCCAAGCTTGTACAACCACCGCCCCATCTGTCTATAACAAGGGCTCTTTTTGATCCCTTGTGGTTCCTTTTAGTTGTCCAGTTACAGAGACTTGACCCCCCACTGCCTAGTTCCCGGCTTTTGGAACGGGCTCAGACTCGATTCTTCAACATCTCAACACTCAAACCGTACAGTATCATTCACCGAACTCTCAATTATACTGCCTAGGGAAAAGTCTCTAGGCATTGAGCGGATTCTTGCGCTGCCACAACCGACCCACTTTTTTTGAGCCTCATGCCTAGACAGGGCTCTCACCGGCTGATTTGATGCTAATGCAGGAACATCGTCCAGCCTTGTTGACTAATCATACTATTATCTCCTTTGTAGAGTCATTTTACTTAATTTTATGGAATTCAAGTGGAAGTCATTGTCGGAGTTAGCCGCTACTAACTAATTTCTATTCCTGCCTTATTCAACTGGGTCGTTGGTAGGGAATGAAGCGTATTACAGTCTCCGACGAATCTAGGTAACTGCACTAAGGCTTAAGACTCACCGAGGGCATCATTGAGCTAGAAGCTCTCCTCTGGTCGGATTGGATCTTGCTGCGGTACCACAAGCAAGACTCATTCCTATCGAGGCAGCTTGCTTGTGTGATGGGTTCGCTCGATTATCCATGGGTGTATGAGTGACTTCCCAGGAAATGGGCCATCTCTTTGTAGCTCACCGCAGATCATGGAGATAGTAGTCTTCTGTGACTTAGAAGCTGGGGTCTAAATGCTAAGCCCTAATGTTTTGGCCACGACTTCAACATTTCGGTACACCGAAGTGTTCTTCGGTGAAAACTTCTTCGAGCGAAGACATTTTCTTTAAATGAAGGCTTTGGTCTCCTTTCGTTTTGCCTTTCTTTGATTCTTCTATCCAACATCATAAATCTACATCTTTCATACGAGCACCACGTCCGAAATCGACCAGAGCATTGTATTTTACCACAAATTGATTCTTCACCTCTTTCGATTAAGTTACTATATCTCGCAGTTGAAGATAAAGCAACCCCCTTCTTATCTGTATTTTCAGATTGTTATATTTTCGTTTCCCTTCTTCCTCGAACCAACCAAACTCTTGTCTTCGAGATGCCTGCTGTACCAGCCCCAAAAGCGGCTGTGTGTGTTTGGTCTTGCTGTTGGTGCCGTGATTACAGTGGCAATTACACGTCCTCTGGAATGACAACACAAATTATAAGCTGCCCAGGATGTTCACACCAGCGGTGCAATGATTGCCGTGTGGAATGGGTCAAAATCAGGTCTCACCAACACGGCTAAGTACGTTGGTACATAACTATTGGACACATTTTCATTCTAACGTATCGCCTAGTTGACAAAGTGGTACCTCAGTCATTCGTATTTCATGATAGACTACATGCGAAGCATGCTTGGGATTGGATTATCGGCATCGGATGAAACGCATTGAGGGGAGATGAGGCAGATTCACAAGGGGGTTTTCTACGCGGAACATTTTTGGTTTTCAAGTCATTGGTTGCATTTTCTCATATATCACTGAATTTAAGAAACGTTTGCATTTGGACGGAGTATTAGATTTTAAAGCTTGCGCTTTTCATACATCATAGACTTTCACTCGGGGAAGATTTCATATCATAGACTCAGACAAAATTTGAACTTTTTGCTTCATAGATTCTTTCTGCAAGCACATGCTTTTTATATCCTTTTTTTTTAGATGTGAAATACCATAGTGGTAAGCTCTCACACAGAGGAATACAAACTGCCTCTAGTTGTGTAAATCGTATTTCTATCTTTTGTCTTGGTATATGGTTCAGCCTGGAATTCTCAACAGTCAAGATTGCAGTTCGGTAACAAGAGTATTTCAACTGCGACTTCAATTTTGACTTCAATGAGAACATTCAAATGATTGGAGATAATAGATTCAATTTCAATACTGAATTGTTTTCAAGTAATAAAAGATCGCATCCACTTTGCAAGCTCACCTTTTAGACACCTCGATTCTGCCTATTTCCTGATGTACTCACGTTTTCTTTATCTATCTTTGTGTCCGTGTTCTCGCGATGCAAAAATGGCCGTATCCACCATGATGGCATTGATCTAATTCATCTTGTCTAAGGAATTTTCTCCTCGTGAATACCAGGCCGAAAAGAAGGGTATTCTAAGCAAATGCCTCCCTCATCTCGAAGCCTGGCGCATTATAGAATTCCATTCTGGTCCATCATATTCCTGAGTGGTGTATGCCCGGTGAGATAATTTCTTGGAAGAATATAGCTATTTCTTTACACTGAAGCTATCACAGCCACCCCGAGATTCCACTATTTTCGAAGGGCGGGATGGGGCATCAATCGATCTTCCCGGTGAACTCAGAGGGTTTCAGCTGTGGTCTATCATACGAGGAAACGTTTTGAAAAATATCACTCACAGTATGGGGCAAGGGGGCCTTATTCCGGGCTGTGAAGGGCGGCGTCTGTGTTGTCAAATTACTGTGGAAGGCAACAAATTTCAAGATACCGTCAAATACCTTCGAGCATTTAAGATATCTTCAAAACTCTTTCCATCGAAAAGCAATTACCAGTCTTCAAGTCCTCGAATCATCTTCATTTTTATACAAGCCATCTATAACTTTCAAATTTCTGCATACTTGTTCGCTTGACCATTCGATTGCATCTCCTCTGTCAAAATGAATTCTCAATCGCCGGTAGCAATAGCTTCAAATCACGATCGCAAGCGCACGCAACCAGCGTTACAGACTGGCCATGAATATAGTCGCGGCCATTCTCATCACAAACATTCGAGCAATGGCAAGCACAATCACAGCAGCAAACGTAGCGGACAGCCCACCAGTGAGCCGCAATACATATACCATGAGATCTGGTATTGCTGTACCTGCGGTTTGAATGGCGATGGAGCTTTGACGGCCGCTCTAAACACACACTGTACATCGTGTGGACATCAAAGATGTGTAAATTGCGCCATCGATTGGATTAAAATACGAGTCGGCACCTAGTGAGTAGCAATTTCAATTGATGAGCGCCGTTTAAAACGAATCTGGAGCTGATCCAGATGCAGACCAACACATCCCTGTATCTCTGCCTGGGAAGTTGTGTATAAATACAAGGGAGGAGAGCCAGTGGGGATGGTTTTCTATGGAAATGGTAGCGCTTACACTCTTCAACTCCTTTCTTCTCTGTTACTCATCTGTCACGATACTCGGATATCAAATCGTCTTTATTGTTTGCATAGCGCTGCGCGGTGGATAAGATGTCATGCATGATTCACATCTGAATTGGTTGATCGTCTTCGTATTTTAGACTTCAGTTTCTTTCTCTGCATTGTCGGATGGGTTTGGGTCAATTTCTGCAGCAGGAATAGATTCATGTGCTGAGGGATTGCAATTTCGAATTTTATTTTCTCATTTCGAGTACCGCCTCATTTCCACATTTTTGAAAGGCCCTAAATTAGTTTTCATGAAAATTACTGTTTCCAAAGAAGTGGCCGGCTATCTCTTTTGATGTGATATAAGCTCAAAATGATGCTTACATACACTTGATTCATTCATATATGATGAGCATCCAAAGCCCCCAAGCTATCAATTCGATGGCATGGTCTCGATACTACCTCCTCGGTGTCCCAGTATAGACAATGTACCTATTTATCTGCAGCCCCGATTCGTCGAGGCAGAATTCGCCCGGCTTTGGATTCTGGGCAAGGTTGCTCGCGGCCGTGAGAGGAAAGCGGGCAATGAAATCAAAACTTCCACTTGGCATGATGATTGCCCTCACTTAACCTTCTATCCGCCTTGCGAGCTCTGTGTAGATTTGTAGCACCGGCAATACCGGCATTACCAAGGTGTCAGTCAGATTAGCATGCATTACGCCAGTCACTGGAGCTTTGGTGGAAAAATTGGGTTTTACCTGGTTTAATGGGAGGTTAATCCTACCTTCCGCTGACCAAAATACAATAGACAATTGGCTGATATTTTTATAGAGGGCATTTACTCATTCTACCAATATCTCACTAGTATGATTAGATACACCGAAGTTCAGGCAAGAATCCACCTTGCAAAGAGTGGCTGCATAGGGCGAATTACGAGATATAAGCATTCTGGGGTATATTTTAAGCTAGAAGGCTTTGTTAACACGGTGAGATAACTTGGAAAGGGCGGTTCATCTCATTTCTATCAGTTTTGTCGATACAGCATGGTATTGGCACGGAGATTTTAAAAGTGGGGTACGTTATACTCGGCGACACTCTGCACGTGTTGAGGCTCTTGTGAGGCTCGAGATGGCATTGTCAAAGTATACTGATTCATACTTTGCAGGTGTACCATATTAAATCGAAATTGGTGTGCTTCATGGAAGTATCTTAGTACCTTCTGACTCTTCCCAGACGTCTTGATTCCTTCGCTCGACCACACCACCCTCTACACACCACCCTCTACAACCTTCGAATCCTGCTGCAGCTATTTTGCTCGCTGACTCACTGCAACACCATCTCGATGTGTAATCTGACATATGATCCGACTTATATAACAGAGAAACTGTCACTTTCTACCCATATACTCATTTTCATCTGAATTCGTCATTGATCTAGAACAATGTGCCTCGCAAATACACTACTACTATCCTTTTGCTTACTTTACTACAACAAAGCTATTATTATAGTGACTCAACTCGCAAACTGTCATTTTGGCGCCATGGGATCTCTTGACGAGTAAGTGTTAACAGCTCCTCCCGGATCCCGATCAGTTTTGCGGCTCGCTTCAGCCTTCTTTTACAGCCCCTACGAACTTCAAAAGAGTTATTTTGGTCTCGATAATGATCTTTTGAGGAAGGATTTGCCGCGAAAAGAGACAGTATCAGCCTCCAGAGGAACATGTTCCCACTCGGGAGATCCGCTTTGAAGGTCTTCGTGGGCGGGGCCGCTGCGACCCCAATACCCGTACCACGTCCGACTTGATTCTTATTTTAACTGCTTAGAATTCACCCCTCGATTAGGACGGCACATCAATTGCGAAAGGATTGTTCATCCAACACTGGATTATCTTGAAAAGTTTGGAAGAATATCTCAAAGCGACAAGCTTGACAATCATGGAGGGAATCAACCGTCTCGGTAAACTTTCCTGGAAACATGTCTGATATTACACACTCTAGGATTGGCAAAGCATCCTAGAATATGTACTTGGGTAGATATATAAAGAATTACAAAGAATGAGGTATGCAGAGATGTGTTGATATATATTTGTTACTTGAGACCGAAGTACCTGGCCTGGAGTATTGAATCTTCGATCCTTGTTTGGGTGAGTAATCGATCGATCACGTGTATGGGGAATTTGAGACACCAATCTATTAGAGAAATTCTTTTACCATCTCCCTTTATTGCCTTTCTTCTCTTTCAGAAATGATTGTGATCAAGATTTGATGGGAATAGCATCATTCTTCTGGAATTTTCCAGTTCTAACTTCAAACAAATGATACCACAATTCACACATCGTTTCTTCGACGATAGATGCCAATGAAGAGGGACCCCGTATGTGTAGGTAATTGGGCTCTCAACCGGTTTACGGTAGATCTACTCCGTGCCTAGGTCCACCAGTCCAGGTATCTTAATGGATAGATGGATATTTTCCTTTTTCTAATCGGATGAAATTGATGGGAAGACCGAACTCAAAAAACGTCATGATACCTACCGACCAAAACCCCCCCCATCCCCCCCACTATACTACTATGTACACAGACAGGTACAATAATACTGAAGAAGAAGATACTGCACTGCAATCCACTTACCACTTACCACTTGCCTATTTACCTACATTCCTCGAATTTCACCATATCCCGCTATCCTTTTTACACCAGAAGAATCCTCTTCATACATTCAATTGATCATAATCGACGGAATTAACCTTTTCAATTGCTATACACAGACAAAGACCGTTTTGGCGTGGAGTAAGAGTAAGACTTGCTCGGACTACCTGTCTCGTACTACATGTACACTATCAGTCAATCATAAAGCTCGGTCCCAAGTCGTCGCATAATACAAATATCGGTATATCCATAGGAATCTCCATCTCAACAACTGAGCCCCACCACCCCTCGAAATCAAGTACCTCAAGTTTCGCGATAACCGCATGGCTACTGCAGTCTGCTGCTTCCAGTAAGCCCGCGAAGTCTTCGAAAATAAGAGGCACATCCAAACATTTCTTCTCGCGAGACTCTCACCGTCACGTCAAATCACAATGGCTGAGACCACGACGGCTGCGGCTGAAGAGGAAAGAAACTTCGTGGCTCACTTCAAAGAGCAGCAAATTTTGCCCCCTGATGAAATCCAACAAAACCCAAGGAATGAAGGTTTGGGAGCAAGTTCGAGAAATTTGAGTGTGCGAGACTTTGAGTTGGTGAGGACTTTAGGAACCGGTACGCTCCGATGATATGCGATGTGCTGTGTTGTGTAGCTTAATGACGGAACCTGCACGTAATGTATGCTAATTGATTTTCATTCAATAGGCACATTCGCTCGCGTGTACGATATTCACCCTCATGAACCTCTCGCTTGAATCTATTCTGATTTTACACTGTGTAGCTGGCTTGTACGTCTTGCGAACCCCGCTGAAGAGGATCGCGATAAGGTTTTTGCGCTGAAGGTCTTACGGAAAGTCGAGGGTAAGAGTTGACTTGCAGAAGCAGAGTCGATATCATTGACTGACAATATCTAGTCATCAAACTTAAACAAGTCGACCATGTCAATCACGAGCGTTCGGTTCTTTCAGATGTTGCTGGGCATCCTTTTATTACTACATTAATTACTTCTTTTTCTGATCATGATTCACTGTATATGCTGGTACGTTCGCGGGATTCACTCTACCAAAGATTCCCCTTTTCCATTATCGATTGGATATCCGGGTACTCTATTTTCTGTCTGAAACTAATTTCTATCTCTACCAAGCTTGACTACTGCCCTGGAGGTGAAGTATTCTCCTATCTACGAAAAGCCAAACGATTCGACGAGAACACAGCTCGATTTTATGCCGCGGAAATAGTTTTGATTCTTGAATTTTTACACGAACGAGAAGGGGTTGCATATAGAGACATGAAACCGGAGAACCTGTTATTGGATGCTGAGGGACATATAAAACTGGTTGATTTTGGATTCGCAAAACGTTTGGGAAACAGTAAGCTGCGTAAATTCGAGGGCTCTGTTGGCCGTTTATTGACAACAATAAAGGGGAAACATATACTTTATGTGGTACACCAGAGTATCTTGCGCCAGAGGTTATTCAATCGAAAGGCCATACGACGGCCGTCGACTGGTGGGCTTTGGGTATATTAATATATGAATTCCTCACAGGATATCCACCCTTTTGGCATTCAAATCCAATAGAGATTTACAAGCAGTATGCATCTCATTTTCATTTCCTCATTGTCTTTGAATCATTCGCACATCATCTGACACAGACTTTCGTCCAGAATCGTTAGCAAGCCAGTTTCTTTCCCTGCCGAACCTGCCATTTCACCTGCGGCAAAAGATATCATTCGCCAATTCTGCACGCTCGATCGATCACATCGTCTCGGAAATATATCTGGTGGCGCTGCACGGGTTAAAGATCACCCTTTTTTCCAAGGAGTGATTTGGGAAGATGTATATTACAGGAAATACCGTGGTCCAATTATACCCCCTTTGAGATATCCAGGCGATGCTCAAAATTTCGATTTATACCCCGATGAAAAAGAAGGAAGAGAACCATACACAGAGGAGCTCGCGGCAAAATACGATGATTGTTTCAAGGGTTTTTAGATTACAACTCAAATGTGGATTCATTGGCGAATGCTGGGACGAGGATGGGATTGGTGTACGGCTGTATCAATGGATTGGTTTGCAGGTTTTAGATACTGCAAATGGCGTTCTTCGGGTACGATAATGGGTCGGTTAAAGAGAGGTCGGTTGCAGAGATCAGGGGAACATATCATGATATCGCTTGTACACTTTCTTATGGAGATGGGGGTGAGATAGCGGGTGTATATGGGCGAGTTTTTGCAAACTTTACCTTTTAGGGTTATAAAAGCTAAGACATTATCAATTGGGTTCTTGATTATCTCCATATTAAATGTGGATCTCTCGCAGTTGCTTTGAAGAATTTATCCGCATCTGGAACCGAATTTCTAAGCGATGTGACACTTGCTGTGTTGCAGCTCGGGAATACCGATTGCCTGCGGATTGCCTGCGAAAATCATTGTGATATGGAGTACACGGATACTCGGGGAGAGAATCATTAGACCCAACGGTTCGCCAGGCTAATGCGGAGTATCTGAACCTCAGCTATACATGATACGTTTATTAACCAGTGAATGCCTGCTTCGACTTGGATTTTTGAATTATCGATGGTTTCTAACATTAAAGTATTGCCTTCCCCCGTTCTCTTTTGTAAATCGTTTTCTACCTACGCACATATTCCAGTCGCACACTCTCACAATGGAACTCTCTCTGTATTCGTCGCTACTTATCGTCTTCATCACTTGGATTTTATCATCCCAATTGACATCGTACTTGCGCTCACACCGCTACAATGCAGATGCGCCATTGATAGCGAATTCGTGGTGGGAAATTTTGACGTGGAGGGGGTTGTCGACGAAGGAATTGTTGATTGGTGCGTATCATAAGGTATGTTGTTTTGTCTTTGCTTTTGGCTATGGTTGTTGGTTGGGATTCTGGGATTGTTGTTTTACGAATTGAATGAGTGTGAATTTTTTTTCTTCTTGTTTGGGGTTTATTTTTATTATTATTATTATTATTTTTTTTCAGTAAGAAAAAAATTGGATGGATGGGTGGAAGCTAATGGATGGTGATAAAAATAATAGTATTCGAAAAATGGAAAGGCGTTTCGTATGAATGGAACGCTGGGTCCTCAGTGGGCATTACCTACTTCTGTTTTTGCGCAGGCGGGGAAGATGGGGATGGGAGATTTGGATCCGTATGAGGCGAATGAAGATGTATGTTTATCCATTCTTCTTTGGTATCTTTATATTTTTATCTGGTCTGGTCTGGTCTGGTCTGATGCGATGCCCTTCAATTCACTATAAGAAAACTCGAATCTAGTAAGGAATATGCGAGAAAGAAAGCCGAACTAACCCTCCAAAATAGTTCCTCCTAATGCGACCCTTCATGTCCCTCGAAAGCGAAGACATGATGACTTTCATCGTCTCAAAACTAACCCGTTCGATCCCCGAGATCGTCCCGCTCCTCCTTGCGGAAACCACGACTGCGTTTCGAGAAAATTTTGCGCCGGAAGATTCGAGTGAGGTGGATGGAGAGGGATGGACCCGCACGTGTTTGTTTCAGCATGTGAATGTTTCGCTGGCGAAGATCGTGTCGCGGATACTGTGTGGAGAGAAATATTCGAGCGATGCGGTGTGGGTTGATAATGTGGCGACGTTTGCGCGGGGGATTTTCTTTTCCGGGATGTTGTTGAGACGCTTGCCGAGGTGGAGTCACGGGTTTGTGGCGCCGTGGATGAAGACGACGAAGCAGGTTGCGGTTATTGAGAGGATGGTGACGGAGGATGTGAGGGGCTTGGTTAGTGGGGATGTGACTGGGGATAGTTATGAGAGGGGGGTTATCCTGCCGATGTTGGTGGAGGATGTGAGGGGCAAGAAAGTTTTTGAGGGGAAGGGGGAGGAGGAGTTGCTGTGGGGAGTTAATAATAGGATTTGTAGGTTCTTTTTTGCGACGGTGGATACGACGACGCTTACTTTTACGCATGTGCTTTATGATGTTATTGGGCATAAGAAGGAACTTTATGCGGAGCCTATGAGGAGGGAGATTAGAGATGTGTCGAAGAAGTTTGGAGGAGTGTGGAATAGAGAAAGCATTGGGGAGTTGAAAAGTTTGGATGCTTTCATGAGGGAGAGTCAGAGATTACATCCGTTAGGATATACATTGGGTAGCCGGAAGGTGGTGAAGAAAGAAGGACTGGATTTTATTAGTAAAGGGGAAGATGGGGAAAAGGTTATCCATATTCCATATGGAGAGAGGATTGAGGGATTGGCATGGGCTATCCATCAAGATGCTGAACATTACGAAGATGCGGATGTGTTCAAGGGATTCAGAACTAGAGATGAGACGATAGCGGGGTCGAATCCTAGTGAAAGGTTTATGAGTTTCGGATATGGTATGTTTGAATGTTTCTTCTGATCCCAACAATACTAACCTATCCCAGGTCGTCACGCTTGTCCAGGCCGCTACGTAGCTCTCACGATTGAGAAAATTATGTTGATCGAGTTCCTCATGAAATACGATTGGAAGGAAATGGATAGATTGAAGGATTGGTCGTTTGGATGGAATAATATTCCAGATATGGCTAGTAAAGTTCACATTAGAAGGTTGAGTGAAGAGGAAGTGGAGAAGCTGTGGGAGTAGGCAGTGTATTTAGCATAGCAGGGTGCGACTTGTGATACATAAATTAAATAGTATGCGTTTTTGTGGGTGGAAGCATTGTTATTATAGGAATACAGCGTGAGCTTCCGGTTTTACAAAACTTCAATTGGGAACCAGGAGAATGATTCGCTCATCAGATATGTCCTAAAATATTGATAGCTAGCTGATTCACTACCATCACAAATGCCATATCGCCAAACGTTAGCGATTTTTGCAGGTTAGCTCTTGTATAAGTAACAATCCTCTCAACAATGTTGGGTTCTCAATTCCTGGTTAAGTCTCCAACCTTGTAAGAATACACAGTATTTCTGTCTACACTCTTCGGTGAGACAAGCTAGCCATATTCGTCTAACACTCGAAAGTTGAGAATGGCTAATACGCGGTATATCTGCCTGCAATCTTCACTGACCTCTGGAGACAAGCCGATTGCGTTGGTCTATTACTAGATGTGGATCAGGCTGGTTAACATGGGATTCATATTGTTATGTCATCTCTTCTTACATCGAGGTGTCTTTTGCAGATTTCAATGTCCAGGCTGGCTGCAATCACTCTTTCATAGTCATCCTTAGGGTTGCTTGTCTCTGTCTTTTCCGACTCTTTTCTTGTGTTGGAAGTTTTCCATACTCTCTCGCCTATTTCTCTATTCGTGATAAAGATATCCGCATCCACCATGTTACCTTTACTGTCATTCAAAAGATACTTCGGATATTCGGTATAAGATAAGAATAGGTTGAATTGAAATATCTGGTCTTGTATATATGTTTCCTTCAATTTCTCTCGACTCGACACATTTGAAACCATTTGAGACCATCCATCAACCACTCTTTACCCCCCAACCATCATATTCTCTCTTTCTCTCTCACCACATAGATACACACCAATAAAACCTACACAATCCCAAAAAACATCGCCATCTTAAACGTCCCCACATACCCCGGCGCCCACTTCTTCAACCCAGCCAAGATCAATTGATCCCTTGTTAATCCATATTTCTTCTGTAGTTTATCAAGCTTCTTCTTGCTATCTTCCGGTAAAGCTTCGAACATTTTGTCATAATCGTCGATTTCCTTTTGCGTGGCTTTTACATCAGTAGAGGAAGGGAAATCGAAAGATGTGAGATCTACGCGCGATTTGAGGGAAGAGGGGACAGAGGGAGACAGATCTCGAAGGATATGGGGTGGGAGTGAAGGCATGGCTTTGGGAATAGAGCTGATGGCAATAGAATGAGTGTTTATGTGAGAGGGTTGGGGACGGTTGTTATAAATACAACGACCGCAGTTGAGAAATTTAAAATGTGATCTTGGTGGGACGAATGTGGTATGAATGAGAGACAATAGCTGGATACCACTACAAAGATGAATGAATAAGTGAGTAGATAAACAAAAAATATATATACAGAAACTTCTGTTCACATCATGTTTAATTACAAACCGAAGAAATGTGCCAAACCGCACTTGGCAGTTGGTTTGTTCATTCCTTCCATATCAGTCTAACACAACAGGAACGTCACAAGAACACTGCCACGGACATAAAGGTTATTCGGCCTCATAAAGGTCTTATTGAATTGGTAGCCTGTCCCGAATTGGAAGAACTCGGGCCGCAAAGGTGGTGGTAAAACGTATACGGCGGGCGGCTAATGAAAAATACAGACCGACCCGACCGCATTACAGCGCAGTACCAATTCTTGGTTCCATCCTTTCCAGAATTAAGCGCCAGCGCTTGCTTGTTTTATTCTCGTAACGAGTTTGGCAAGGAGATCCGAAAATTCATGGTCGTGGACCGACATCGTGCCTGTATCTGTGTGGTCAGGACTTGAGCTTATGAAAATCAGCATGAGAACTCTCGATGGGACGGAAATAGTCGGTGCGAGAGATCGCAATTTTGACGAGTATACAAGGGAAAATAGATGAAATGGATAAAATGAGGACCCGAATAATTCGTTCCAAGAACAACGTGTGCTATATTTGAGAACGACAATCAAAGAGAAAATTTACAGAGTCACCTGTGACGACTTTCGATATGATTGAAACTGATTGATATATGGACGAAAAGGGGTCACCTACAATAGCCACCTGTATTACGAACTAAATTCCAGTCTATTTCCGGCAAAATCCCTAGCAAAGAATCTAATAGGATATTCCACTCCTTTCGCTCCTGAATAAGTCAGTTACCATCAACGATTCATACATTCTATTCTCCCTCGCGCTCTCTCCGCTCTATCTCTCAAAATCACACTTCCGTTTTTTTTGTTAAAAAAACAAAACAAAGAAACACGTGAAAGACTCACCACTATCAATCTCACCAGGCTTATCAGCCTCTCTCGGTCTCGCCTCTCCAGCCTCCTCACTCTCATAGAACGCCCAGATTCTCTTCTGCAATTCTACCAAAGCCTCTGGACTCGCGACTCTGAAACATGGATGACGAGAAGATTTTGGCTCCGAAGGAGATGCGGAGTCCGAGATGTGAATCTGTTGGCCTTGGGGAGTAATGTCAAACCTTGGGGGATCTATTAGTACAATTCCATGAACAGAGATAGGGTTGGAATTAAAAGAGAGGATCGTAGAATACTGCCGGAGACAGTGAGGAAGAGGAAGACCGGCCATACCAAGCAAGATGATCTTTCTGCAAGACCGGTACTGGAACCGAGGTGAATCCCAACACTTCGTCGTAGAACTTCTTGGCCAAGTGAAGAGTGCCGGGTAGCACCGTAAGATTTACGTGAGCGATTCCTGTGATCAACATTGTGAATCTACGTATGTGAGATATCCTAAGAACTCTGTGTTGCTTTGCAGTAATTTGTGTATATTTTCTTTCCTGTCTGTTTGTGTGTTTGCTTGTTCACAACATGAACGATGAAATCGTAAGGAGGGTTCAGGTGGGGGTGGATCTCATACCGAGCGTGGGGAACCAATAAAAGGTCTAGCTGATAAATCACAATATATATCCTCTGCAATACATCTTTTCACCTAGAAATCACGCAATCTGGTGGGAAATTCTATATGCCAATGGGGTCTGGACACTGAATTACTGATACTACGAGTAGAATAGAATGAATTAGATAGTAAATTCCATATAATTTCTACTACATGAAGGAAAAGAATAGTGTGTAAATAATACTGCAAATTACTCGTATAGCGGAGTATAAATAATTTTCTAATATCTCAAATAAAGTGACTAAATCTTATAAGAAAGTATCTCGTTAAAGATCCTTATAATCACTATAAACGTATTCTATTTCAGTAAAAAAATTAGTCAAAATTATCACAAAAGTCGAAATCGATAATTTTCATTGAACGTAAACAATTTTAAAGCTCTCATGAATTCGACATTCTTTTGTGATAATCTTTGCGAAACAGATTATATCTATATAGATGGTTAACCAATAAAATGAATCCGCATCTTTCTATACGGTATGAGAAAGGCCGTTTTTTCTTTCCAAGCGTCGTCTATCACGATTTTCTTGAAAAACCTCTTGAGATTTGGGTTTTGAATGTTGGCTTGAGGTCGAATTACGACCATCCTGAGAAGCCTCCTCATCTAAAAGATCCTTATTTTTTTTGGTTAGATTGTACAAGCTAGGAGGTAAGGTGTCATTCTTCTTAGATGTTCTAGATTGCGCCGTTGTAGATGGAGCTCTTAAAGAGTGACTGCTCCCAGTGAATGTTTTTCGAGAAGATGCAACTGTTCCTGGAAAATCTTCTAAAAGTGTTCCTCGTTCAGAGCTATCTCTGGACTCATGTTCTGATACAGGCCCTTTAATAGAGGACATCTTCGCAGTGTGTGGATTTTGAGAAGGTGTGATAGAACGTGCATCTATTTCTGGAATATGTTTTAAAGGTGTATCTTGTTTAGAGTCTTTTGTAGAGGACTTTCTTCCGGTAGATGTTCCATGAGAAGATACAAGAGAAGATGTTTTTGTTTTTGGAAAATCATCTAAAGGTATTCCTCGTTCAGAGCTATTTCTGGACCTATGTCCCTGTATAGAGCTTTTTACAGAGAACGCCTTCTCAATGGGTGGTTTTTGAGAAGATGCAAGAGAAATCGCATCTATTTCTGGAAGATCTTCTTCGGTTATTTCTCTTTAGAGTCATCTCTGGATCTATGCCCCTTTCCAGAGGACTTATTTACAGTCGGCGCTCTTCTAGAGGGTCTAGAAATTTCTGTCCCAGAATCTTCAGACTCCGAATTATCCTCTCTATGCTTTGTACGGCCATGCGTTTTTTCTCTCGAGTCGAGCTCAGGTCTCTTTCTTCGATTTTCAGATCTGCTATTCTCATTTTCTTTTCCAGGAAGGGTATCACGAGACTGGTCTCTACGTCTGTCTCGACCATGTCCATCTCTTTGACGATTGGGAGAGGTGTATCTGTTGTCTTGAGAATCGTTGCTTCTCCGATGCCGATGAGGTCTATGTTTCTCCTTGCTACCGTCACCACGACTTCTGGATCCTTGATACGTATCAGGTTCTCCATCTTCAACACTGATATTGATAATTTGCTCTCCAAAATTCAAATTAATAGGCATGTTTAGATTTTTGCCCAGCTCCTGAGGAGTTTTTGTAGTTCGAGCACCTTTGTGCTCGGTTACACCACCACCGAAAAGACCAGGGCGCTTCTCTTTTTTATGGCCAGGAATTAGGACATACAAATCGCCTCTTTTGTTATCCAAAGGCTTGTATTTATCCATTCTTCTCACTACATCCTTCGAATCCGATTCCTTTGATACTCTCATTCTTATGGGACTTTGATATTCCTTCATATTATAATTCACGAGGTCTGCTTCTTTAATCCAATTATCGATATATTTATCAGAACCGAATATTGAAAACAACGGCGCCATGGTGATTGTAGGAAGGGTAGTTGAAATTTCAGAGAAGTTTTTACAATTGTGATTCGACGGTATGCTATGTCTGTAGATTGACGATGGAATGATTTTGTGTGATACAAAGGACTGCATCTTATCTTAAATACTCTAGGGGACCAACAAATCTTCAACCCAAACACAAATATCCGATCATCGCACTATAACTCCAACAATACTGGAGTTTGCCTAGTGATAGGCGTTGAATTTAATTGAAAGGCGGCATGTTTTAGGCCTTATGACCGAGAAGATATTTTTCGGCTGAACGACAAATTGTTCTTCTAGGCGGGTCGCGGTCGTGAATGACCAGACTCCGACGCACAAGGGATCTAAGAAAGGAAATAGAGAGACAAGTGGTACGTAAAAATGTGATTTTAGAATTATGAACCTAATAGCAATTTCATATGTAAAAATCCCACCAAGAGATTCATCAAAGCATTTTGAAAGCTTGAAGTCTCTTCATACTTTCTTCGAGACTGCGCCTCTCAGAATCGAGACCGAGTCGCTTTTGGGCCTTGTTTGGATTTTCGCCAACTAAATTGCTTAATGCATCCTCGTTTTGTTCTCCATATAACTTCTCTGATACATACTGAGGAGAAAAAAGACGCAGTGGACCATCAGGACCAAGCTGGTGCCTTTCGATGACTTGAGTTGCAGCATTGTCGGTGAATCGCCATCTAGCCAATTCATAGTAGGCCTCGAGACTATCATGAGTATTCAAAACTGCCGCTAGCTCCTTGTCATGATATAGTACGGTTTAAACAATTTGGTCTGATGAGATGGATAGATTAGGAATCAGTGCACCCCCTTGTTCTTGTTTCATCCACGCTTTTTTCTTTGCCAAAATGCTTGTAACTTCGTTGATCCTGTTATGCTATCTATGAGTTCGAAGTGCGGTGAAGTAGGGGTGCAAGGTAAAAAGAAGGCCTTCAATTTCATCTGCAATCAGACGTTCGAGCTCCTTCGCGGCATCGACTGATGCTTTCTGAAAATCGGCATGCAACCAGTCCCGCAAGTTGACTCGAAGATCATCATCTGAGCAGACAATTTGAAATAATGCCTCATTCACCCGTTCAACAATGCTCTCCGCCTCAGCAAGAGCGTCCTCAGCGATGGCTCTCCAGCCTGTGGTCTGCTTTCTCCATAAGAAGTCGACTACTAATGGATTAAGGTCACCAGGAAATTCGGTCCCGCGAAAGCTCCCAATTACTTGACGTATCCAACCATAGGTTGGATCTATAGATTCATGTTAGCATTTTCATGTCTTCGTTGTTCATATTGATATTACTAAATACCTTTCATGAGTTTCTCCGACCATGTCATTCCGTCGTCGGTAAGGATAAGCTTCGCTTCCGCTGTACAAGTTACAAAAGGCTTCACTGGACCCTCTGCCTGCAATGTAGTACAAAACTTGTCAAGTCCATCACGAATTAGCTTTCTCGCAAACATATCAGACTTATTAAGTCCTCGATAGTTGCCATTCAGAGAATTCTCCGCCATTCTAGAGTACTTCGTTGCAATTCCATTTATCAAGGTAAACTGCTGGAAATTGGTATCGCATGGTGGCCCTAGTTTGGAGATATCATTGTTGCACAGAGCAAGTTTTGCTCTGATCTCGGATAGAAGACTGGGTATACTTTGTTTGACATGTCTATTCCGCATCTTTATCAGATTGCTTCGTAGATGATGTCTGCCAAGTCTCTTTTTATTCAGTCGATTCCATTAATCGCCTGAAAAGAAGGCATCCTCGATAGCATCTCTTTCTGCATCGCTGTTGTTGGCTTCGATTGGTGCCCGGTTACGCAAACCGTACCACCCTTCTTTCAGGTATCGTGGGGATAGGTCATCATTCTTGATGAGCTCAAAAACCTTGCGAAGGTTGTCAATAAGTTATTGTATAGGAATATTAGGCCAATTTACCCAGTCGTGTGATTGCTTTTGCTTGGTATCACACTTGTTGATAACTCCAACTATCCTAGACTCTTTGTCCTCTATATCGTCGAGCATATGCAGGACTTCCTGCCTTTCGAGATCGATCACATCAATAACAGCCCTTCATGATGTAAGTGGAATGGCCTGGTAAGATAATGTCTAAGGACCAGAACGTACACAATGATGCTTCTTGGGTTATGCATGTAATGCTGGACAAGAGTTTTGGCTGTTTGATGCTCCGTGTTTTTAGCATCTCCTGGTATACACTGTCAGCTCTGTGAATACGAGTAAATGATGGTAATATTCACCACGAACAAGACCAGGTATGTCTACAATCGCAAAATTCTTCTCTTCGGGGCCACGTCGAGTTATGCGTAGCACAGAGCTACTCAATCTATTGTATTTTGGTCTTCTACCAGGCCGGAAATCGGCACGGTCTTCAATGATAACAGATTCTGCCTATGCACTTTTAAGTAACTAAATCGTAGAGAAAAACATCTGTCTCGAGCCTGACCTGCTTGAATATAGGATTCATGGTTTCCTTGTCAAGCGTGGGCCCAAAAGCTAACGGACGCCATGAGGACAATAACTCCTTTCGCTCTTGAGTTTCGTTGGAATCAGGAATGATCTCAACGGTCACCGAAACTGTGTCGCTTGGCGAAGTTCTTCTGTGCACAATCTCGGTTGCAAAGCGAGTGCACATCTTATCATCGGTTGGAAAAGGAATCTCTGTCACAGCTTGAAGCACTGAGCTTTTGCCAACGCTTTGGTCTCCAACGACGATCAACTAGGACACGTAAGTTTAAAGTGACATGTATAAGAGAATAGACATACTTGAGGCAAATTCACATATTTGGAGACGCCCAACTTGTGCAGCCCATATATGAGCTCGAGCTCTGCTTGTGTCTGTTCATCTCCAAAATCATGTCCTATAAGTGATTTGAGATCTGGGTATGCGGAGACCATGATGTGATCTCCTTGAAGAGGTTGAGATTGTATTTTTTTTAGTTGAGAGTCTTGAATAATTTGAGTACTATCGATTGAGAAGTGTCTGCGAACTGGTCTTTCACAAGATTATGCAAAACAGTCCTGCTGCATACAATTTCAATAAGAATATGATTTTGAAAATAAGTGAGAAATCCACCTCTTCTATAAATTATGCAATTGTATCTATATTGGAACTATCCCGACATTGTTGAGACAAAAGTGCATGATTTTTAAGATTTGCTCCCTAGCAAACCTTAGATTCTGCAGCTGAAAGGCTGAAAAGTCAAAAATAACATTACAAAGATATACTTCCTATGTCCCGAGATACATGGGGTTGTAATACTCCCCTGGGCCGCAGTCCGACGACCAAAAGCGAGCAATTCTCAAGGTACAGCGCGTGTTGGCTGGTGACTGTTGGTCCCGCGATTATGGTTCGTCAGGGTGCTGTGCTTATCGAATACTGAAGCAACTGTTTGAAGTAAAAAAACAGTTCATATCTGTATATCAGTCCACTAGGAATGCCACATTATTGGGCTGACTACTGCATGCCAAACAAGATGAAATGTAAATATAGTGACGAGTAGTGCTGCCTTGTGCCGCTCGTTTGTGATACGGGCGCAGATGTGATGGCCTTTACAGAAAACCATCTGATAAATGTTAAATACACTATGTATTGGAGGAAACGATATGTAGGAAGAGACATGAAAGAAAATCGAGGAAACGAAAGAAGAAAGAACAGCAAGCCTACCTAGGACAATAAGTTTGCCCACTAGACGCGAAATAATGCTTCAATGCCAATCTTTCATCACAAACATGGGTTGATTTGAGACCCTGAACAGAACATTCAATGCATTCTGCACAATTCAACCACATTTAATGTCCTAGTCAACTCGAAACGATGAAGTGGTGATATGTTCTTGATAGAGAGAATAAGAGGTTGGGACACAGCCAGTAGCATGATGTGTTCTCCAGTAGTGAAGATGATGGCCCCAAGTGAAATTTTGAGACTTGTCTTCAACTACTCAACCAAATCGTTCTCGGAAGAAGCAAAAATATGAAGTAGATTTTGAATTATGAATTTGTTAGAAACAAGAAAATGGTGACGACATCTACCTCGAGATCTACCACATTCGCTCAATTTGCTTGTTGGCCTCGGTGTACTAGGTGGCCCAAGCTCCAAATTTTGTCTATCAATCCTCAACACGTAAACACCACACTCCCTCCTTCATTCAACTCAACTTCAAGGTCAACAACAAGCTGTTCTTTTACTCACTCGCACTCCATCTTCTACCCAGCACAAGCCCTTTCTCTCCCGCTGCGATTGCAACCATGGATCCCCAAGATACCCGCTCACCCCCCGTCAAAAAGCGTGGTCCGAAACCCCTCCAGTCCTCCAGTCGCAAAACCCAATACCTGATCCTCTACAACTTTGTGTCCGCACTTCTCTGGCTCGTCGTTTTGGGTCGAGTAATCCTCCTTGTCCCACTCGTCGGATTCGGGCGTTTATATCCTGCTGTCGGTACTTTTGTAAAATGGACACAAACCATGGCACTTTTGGAGGTTGTGCATGCAGCTCTTGGTCCGTTCTTTCTTTCACCGTCCTTTTATATGTGGTTGTAATTGAGAAAATGCTAATCCTTAATTTGTAGGAGTTGTACGAGCCCCAATTAGTACAACCGGTATGCAAGTAGCCAGTCGACTCCTCCTCGTCTGGTTCATCGTCAACCCATTCCCATGGGTAGCAAAAAGCACTGGGTACTCTACAATGCTCATTGCATGGAGTGTCACCGAAGTAATTCGATACTCTTACTTCGTTATCACACTTAGTGGATACAAGCCCGATATTGTTACTTGGTTTCGCTATAATACCTTCTTCGTCTTATATCCATTGGGGATCAGTAGTGAATGTTGGTTGATTTATAAAGCTATTGAACCCGCGGGAGAAATATATGGATCACTGTATCCTTTAGTTTTGAAAGCAATTTTGCTAATTTATATTCCTGGTATGTTTTAGGGTGATAACCTTGAAGATATGGGGATGCTAACGAGATGCAGGTTCATACATTTTATTCACACACATGATTAAGCAAAGGAGTAAGGTTTTGCGAGCCCAACGAGAGATGTTGAAAGATGAATAGAGCATTCAAATCCGCATAGATTATAGATCTAGAATGGGAGCTAGAATGGCTCGGATGATGTACATATCCGGCCAACAAAAAATGGAACATTCGTAGAAAAGTTAGTTGGTTGCACAAATTTATAGATTTCTTCTAGCTTCAAAGTCCACTCATCCCTCTCTAACTTGTACACAATAACTGCTTGATTAGAATGCAATGATTCTACCAAATCTTGCGGCCTACAAAAAGATATTTCGAATACATCATCATATGCCAACTTCTAGGCAGTTTTACTGAAAAAACATTCACAAGTAGTTAGACTCACCAAGTTTAATATCAACGAGCGGAGAAACACATGTTCTATTCATAAGACTACAGCTGCAATGTACAGAAACATAGATATCATGCGTGCCTTTATTCAACCAATCGAGTGTCAAAAAAGTTAAAAAGTTGAGAGAATCAAAAGATGTAGTGGAAGGAATCTCATCTTCTTTTCCCCTTTCCACTGATTGACGCCTGTCGCCCCTTTCCCATACCCTAACATCTTTCCTTGACTTCACAAGAATCCTTTGCTCTTCACTTTGAGGAACAACTTCAGCCACCGCTAGCAAAATAAAAGTCCACGTGCTTGGGAAATGGTATCTCATTTCTTCAATAAGTCGATAGATTGTAAAATGAGCCGAAGTATTATGCACGACTTTGGCTGTAAAACCAGCATGTCCAGCACACCTAGGAGATAATAGAAGAGATTGAGCGAAACTTATCAGATGTCATGTAATTCTAAACCTGAGAATCGAGATGAGGATGATTATGGCGTGGGTATTCATATTATTATAATTGTACGGGATAGGCTTAAAATCAAGCTCAATGACGTGAGGATGTTGGAAGATGCACCCCGTCACGGAAATCGGCACCATTGGAAACCGGCTGTGCTTCGGGCTTACGTCCAGCTGGCCAAAAGTCGATAGCCTCAACGATATCCTCTCCTCGCTCATCCTCATAAGCATATATGATCTGCAATCAATCAGTATTTTTACGAATTCACGCATGAATGTTAGGATGTCACATACCTCTCGAGTGCTCGTATGCAGCATACGAATGCTCTTATGAGGAACAATATGAACAGCGTTAGTCTCAATATTCCTAATTTCAATAAAGTTCGGTTCGAAGGCGAGTATCCAAGGGTATGAAAGTGCGAAGCTCTGTGGTAGTCCCTCCCAATCAATCCTCCAGTCGGGTCTAGCGCGCCATCCATTGCGGTTGACGAAGAAAGAAAATTCAGAGTAGTTGAGAAGAAACTCTCCGTTCAATCGCTCGATATGTATTGGTCGTACGTTCTCCTTTCGAGCAACGAAGTCCAAAGATGTATCTGCCTGATCGAGAAGTGATTGAGTCTCTAGAGTTTCCAAAGATACTACTTCAAAACCACGTGCACAAGCTACACATAATTTTGATTTGAGGAAATGTATGGACGAAGATTCTGTTGGAATATAGAATTCTTTGAATGCCTTCAACTCGTCTTGACCATTGCTGAACATTTTGAACCCTTTTTGCTTCTTTCCTTTGGACATCGCGTCGTTGGGCTCAAAAACTTTGATAGTAGTCGACAAGGCCGATGATTTAACACAGCACACAAGGTGGCGGCCTAAGCATATCCCTGTGCGGAAGAAGTTGCAATGGCTTTGTATTTTCTTGGGTCGTTTCGAAAGTGCAGGCTCGTTCGGATTCAGCGCAGAAAGAGGATAAGACTGCAAAGATTTATTAGATAAAACCAGCAGAAGATTGTATTCCTCGAGAACATCAATTTGTGTGACACTGGTGGCATCCAATACTCGAAGTGGCTTTGCAGCAGCATCTTTTGATCTGCGATCAGAAACGAAGATGCCCGAGTCCGTACCGTATATCAATTTACGTCCACCATCGAATGGTGCCACACAGTTGACCCTATTCACGGTCGTGAAGAAGTTACTAGAAATGATAGATTTATTGTAGAAATCGCCTCGCGCACGTAATATGGCTTGTTGTTCACCTATGTGCTCCATCCATTTGTTCCTCATCCCTGCACTGCTTGCGTACAGTGTCAATTCATACCCTCCTCTACCAAGGTGCCTGAAGGTGATGGGGAACCCATCTTTCTTACTGTTGTCATTTGTAGGAGTCTTGCTAGGAATCAAACTTGATGATGGGCGTTTCACAACTCCAAGCTTAGGCATAAACTCATCCATTTCGCGAATAGTCAACAGTTCAAGAGGAATTGGGCGACGATATACTTTAATTTCCTCCTTCTTTGCCACCGTCTTAACACGTACGAGAAGAACAGCATGGTCGAAAAGGTAGGCCTGAATATCAGTTGGATCTGTTGGTGTCTTCTTCAAAGGTCCTTTGTGGATAAGCTCTCGGTTTTCGTCAGTAAGCTTCAAATCTACACGCTCATTGGGCCTGAAACGAAGCTGTTCGTGCAATCGCTTTAGGTTGAAGCGATTCTCGGCTTTTCCGGATTCGGCATTGACCCTGGTAAGGAGTTCACGAATCATTTTCATGGCTTTCGGGATATCTTCCTTGTCTTTGTTTCCATCGTCGGTATACTTAAGAACATTATCTAGCAAGAGTGGGTAACGGGCAAGTCTTGTTGTCGGCTTCGTTAGATAACCATTCAGTTCAAGCTTTCGTGACTCTTTCCGCCTCTCTGTCTCGTCTACAAATTTGGAAAACGAGGGATTCAAAGATCGCTCGTTCTCAAACTCAAATTTTCCCGCCAGTTGATTTGATCCGTATATGATAAAAGGCTCAAATTGGGGTACAAACTGGAGGAATATATCACCAACACATTGCACAACAGGATGCTTCCGCTGGCGTTCTGTAAGTGCTTCGGCAAATTTAGAACTGATAGCGTGAATACTCGGCGGATCAACAATGTTTGAGAATATGGTTCTGACTATTCTCTCTTTTCGAGCCTCTGGAATAGGTGATGGAGAGAGTTGATTGACTGAGCGTAGTGGGAGAATCCAAAAGTCTCGTAGATATTCGAGATCCTTTACGAAATCTCTTTCAGTGTACATAATCTCTGAAATGACTTCTTGACGTTTCTTCTCCCGTTCACCAACGCTATCCGCAATTTCTTGAGAGACTGTGTTAATCCAGAGCTTTTGCTCGTCAGGTTCGTCGACATCATGCAGACTTGCTTCGGACTTTTCGCGACGAAGACCAGGCTGTGGCTTCAGGTTCAATCGAGATTGCTGTTCAAGTCGACGAGGACAAGCTATCGAATAGCACAACTGATCTCTAGTACATGTTGGAGAGTAACATTCGGTGAGTAAAACGAACACGCCATTTACTTCTGGTGCTTCATGAGGTTCGTCCATCATCGTTTCTCGAAATTGATACATCTCTGTAGCAGCGTCACGTAATCGATGATCGTAAGTCACATCGTGAAAAAACTTCTGGGCATCAAGAGCTCGTCCAAGCAACAAGGCAAGATTTCGATCGGTAGTCTTGATAATATACGAGATAATGTCCACCGCCTCCGCTCCACTGAAAGCATTTTTGTATGTGAGGTCATTCTTCGTTCTATCACCGACATTGATTTTTTCTCGAAAGCAGTCGCCAACCCGCGACAATAATGCTGGGTATACCAGAGGAGCTTTGTGTCTGGATGATCCTCCGGCCGTGCTGCTAATTGATTTGGCCGAAGGCCGATGCGTTAAGACATCCGAATGCTCCGGTGGGACAATAGTTGAAGCCATGGACATCGATCGGCTCATATCTGGCGCAACAGTAGAGGCCATACTAGCAGTCCGTGTTGCAGTTGCGGGAACAGGAGGGGGGATAGAAAAAGCTGGTAGCTCTTGCGGCCCATTCCCCGAAGTCCGTCGATTTGGAATCACTCGTCCACTCATAGTTTGATGCTGGTCACGATCTTGTGGATAGGTAGTCAAAGACATTGTGCGCTCATCAGGTCTCTCTGGAATATTGCGTCCGAGAGCGGTTGTTTTTGCGGGTTGGTGTTGGTATTGAGCTTGCCGAAACGCATTGGCGGGAGCTTGGTTGAAGTTGCTAGGTGGCGGTTGATACATTTGTGGCCTAGGTATACTCGCCATCGATTGAGATCGATAGGGATCAGAGGCGAGTGCTGGAGCATTGCCTGTGTAATATCGCTGTTGTTGGGGTCTAGGAGGAAATGGTTGTTGGGGTGCAATGCGCTGAGGAGTAGGGTACGGTCTTCGATCGCTACGAACCTGCTGTGGTAAGGAATGAGGTTGTGGTTGAGAAGGTACTTGTCCAGGAGGTGGTTGTCGGGATCCTTGATAGTAGCCATTGGCTATGCCACCTCCGTTTGGCATATTGTTCCCCTGTTGAGGCCGATATCCGCCCTGGCCCGGAGCTTGTCTGGGAGGCATCCCGCCTTGCATTCCTGACGTCTGCGAGGACATCGTTTGTGTGCGACCCTGAGGCATCATTGGAGGAGACACAGATGAAGTCATGGTTTGCGATCGGCCGGGAGGAGGGGCAGCACCGAAGATATTTGAGAAAGCGGTTTCCCGTTGATAGTTCGAAGCATGACCATATTCATTCGGGCGACCATTATTCCCCCGCCCTTGCTGATAATCTGCCATTTTATATGCCAAAGAGTATTTTTGTTGTGTGAATGCAATGTAAGTCTGTTCGTTGATCCTTCTGTTGGCCTAGAATGAGGAGCCAAGACTCGAAGCCGAGGGAATTAACCCCGGGACAACCTCAAGACCGATGATATTATGGACCCTATTATAACATCCACTAGTACGGGGTTTAAAATTCCAATGTCGAATTGATTTGAGGTGGTTGTTGAGGTTGAGATACGGGTAAGATAATGATTAACTTTGTTGTTTCGGAGTCGGAGGATGAGTTGGGGTTGTATGTAGTTGATCAGCTCAAGCGAATGAATGATCAGCAAGCCTTTCTAGAGTCGTATTGCGTGTTATTTATTTATCTTGTTCGCAGGAGGAGATAAATAAATAAGATAAAAGCATCGGAAGAATGATCCCAACGTTAAGATGTACGCTTCTTCTTCTTTCCCTTGATAGGCTCAATAGAATCTTGTGAATCTTGTGAATCTTCCAAGGCTGCTCTGGAAGGGTAACCAGGAGTAGGATTCCTAGTTATGGAAGACTGACTGACTGAACTGAATTGTACGGTCCTGTATTGTAATGTATTGTTGTTGTTGTGTATATGGAACTAAATTTTTGGCTAGTTCAAGTTCTTTTTTGGCGGCGCGCCGGAGCATTGGATGGTACCGTATCCTTTTATTAGTGTGGCTTTCGGATGCGGCGAGAGAGGAATCCTTCTTCCTTTCGACGCTTGGAAGTCTCAATCAACACTTCATAAAGCTAGAGAACGGGCAGTAATAAAGAACACACTTGGAATCAAAGATAGAGTAGTAGTGAGAACTCCTGGAGGATCAGCACTGCATCTGTCTGTGCAACCTGATCTCTAATAATTGAATTGGGAGAGGGATTGCATTTGTTATTCTTATTATTGTATTCATGATATCAATTCCATACATACATCTACGAGGTATCTACTTGAACAATTGGATGCTTTTCGAATTCGGGTGTTATTTGGGTGACTAAGCCGCCCTTGGACAATTTTGGTGTGTATACTCGTACGGTTGTGGTAGATGTGACTCTGTAGATTATCTGTCAGTGCACTGGGTGCAGTACTGTACTCTGTAGAAAGAGAAAAGAGGCGCTTGTCTAACTTAGCTCCACCCAACTGAAGCCTGGATTTTGATAGCTTTCATCTAACAACAACACTCATTCGCAACCTCTCAACTGTCAACCGTCAATTTTCATCCAACTTTAGTACATCAACACACTTACAGAGTAAATCAATCATGGCAGAATCAGATCTTGCCCCAAAGTTCGCCCCCTTCTTTGGAATGGTACGAAGCTCAAACATTCGTCGTCTTGCTAATGTCATTATGCTAATAGCTTCTACAGGCTGGTATCGCCTTTGCGATGACTTTCGGATGTATGCCATCATTTCCCAAGCTCAAACTCATTGCACAGTTCACTAATAGCCTCAAGGTATCGGTGCCGCATATGGCACGGCTAAGTCTGGTATCGGAATCGCAGGTGTTGGTACTTTCAGACCTGACTTGATCATGAAGGTACGTAGTCATCCAAGAAGATTCATACATGCTACACGTACTGATCTGGTGTTCGATTTAGTCACTTATACCTGTGGTCATGTCTGGTATCATTGCGGTCTACTCTCTCGTTATCGCCGTCCTTATAGCTGGAGATATGGGACCTCCTCCTGGCCAGAGTTACAGTTTATTCAAGTATGCACAGCTTGCTGGGTTTTGTACAAGCAAATACTGACATATTCATAGTGGATTCATGCATTTGGCATGTGGTTTGTCAGTTGGATTAACGGGCCTGGCCGCTGGTTATGCAATTGGTGTAGTTGGTGATATGGGCGTTCGATCATACATGCAACAGTCGCGAATCTTTGTTGGAATGGTCTTGATATTGATTTTCGGCGAGGTCCTGGGACTATACGGGTAGGCTCACTTCACAAAATTATCTTCAAGTTGTCACATTGCCTGCATACTAATTCGTTATCTTAGCTTGATTGTCGCACTCATTCTCAATACCAAGAGCAGGGGTTAGAGATTCATTACCAGAAGCAAATACTCTTTTTCCGGTCATACGACAACATTATTTGGTTAGATATTAAGTGACGGCATTGCTTGGAGTTTGGGTCGTGTATAGTTTGTAACAAACATGCCGCAAATGTTTGAAAATCGATCACTGTGTACAACACCTTCGAAAACAAGCGCGATTGTAATCTATCAACAATCGGGCGGCGAATTCGCGCTTCACAAATTTCACTTGTCACACTTGCCTGATCTCCGTTTAGTATTCACGCGCAAAAGATATATCCCGCGCAGCATACGTATTCCACAGACTTAGAGGGGTTATTCCATTTCTAGTCAGGTGGGCTTTCCATCAAGTTCTGTGTGGTTGTACACCATCTTTATCCAACACTGTATACTATTCAAACCTTATCATTTCTTCTTGGTGCACTTTTCCAACTGATAGGGCCCGTCGGTGTTTTCTTGTGTTCTCTCGTGTATTGTTCTTGTTTTCACATGAAACGTTGACAGATTATCTCCTTCCGGGACTGGCTACCATTTTGATGATGTTGATGCACTTACCTAGCAATCCTTATTCCAGTTGGGCGTCTAGCCGCGGCACATGAGCAAGGCTTGAATGCTGCAGCCATTCTGCGTTCAAAGGGAATACTATGAAGGCGTAGAAAGCACTGCCTGCCTTGCCTGTCCGGTTGCTGTTGAAAGGAGCGGTAGGAGATACAAAAATGCATGTGATGTCAACTTTGTATATCCCCGAGCAATCTTTCAAGGTCTTTTCGTGAAGGTGGTGATGAATTGGGCATTGGCCCAGCTACCACTATGCATAATATCCAACTCCAAAGTTAAAAAGGATACTTTGATTCTGCAACGTAGATGAACCAGGTTGACCTAAATTTTTAGCTCGGGACAATCATGATCACTCTGAATAAAAGACCCAACCTCTTTTTGAGTGTTTAGCTCAACTTGAATGTTCCGACAAACTAATAATGTACAGTCCAGGAGTAATAATTGTCTATCATCAGGATAATTCAGTTGAACAAAACTTATCACAATCTAAGTAGTCATTACTATCGACTGGAATATTCAATAAAGAATAATCCTGTTGGCCAATCCCTATCTTCGGATGCCCGCGAACCCGTCAAGTCATGGGTAGATTCTGGAGTTACCTTGTGATATTGCAAATGAATTCTCCCATTGGATGAAACTCACGACATATTAACTTCCTCGCTTCCTGTCCCCTTTTAGTTTTACTTGTCAGTATGACTGATTATTGTTCCACGATATAGGTAGTGTCTATCACTACATTTGTAATCATGATTTGCTCAAAAAAGCATGAAATCGTTGATGAAAATAAATAAGCGTTATCGGTATCTTAGCGGCGGGTATCAGCCACACAGCCGCCACACAGCCGCCACACTATCAAATCTCGAAGCCTCCTCCCGCAACACAAGTTCACGCTAGTTAGTGTTTCTAGACTCGCCAAGGTGCAAACTAACCATTCTGCAAAACCTTCCTATTATCTACAAATTTTGTATCACCTCTTCCTCGGTGATCCCTTCTGTCGTAGGCGACAAGTACCTCCGGGACTTCCTTATTTGCGGGAGTATTATGATCAGGTGTCACGACATCTTGTGTTTGGTCAAACCCTCGATTGCGAGATATCCATAACTGTTTCTATCTCGTACTCAACTTCCTTCGCAAGATTAGATGGATTTTAAGGTTAAGGGCATCTTTGCCATAATGTATATGATCAACTGTTGGAGTGGAAACCCTGTCGACGTGGTCGTGCTCATACAATCCCTGCTTCACGTGCTAATGTAGATCAGGTACAAGTAAAGCTCACGAGGGCTTAAATTGAAGCTTATTTCCACAAGTGCGTCTTCTGGCTCGTTTTACTTCTTTGCCTACTTGAGTTCCCAGCCACTGCTGCACACGACGCCCGGCATTTGAGATTGTTTCTTCATTATTTCACAAAGTAAATTAGTCTATTTTTGTAGTTATGGCACAATACAATATTTTTGCTGGGGGACAAAGTGCAGATCTTCCTTTGCGGTGAAGTGACTCTCCGCCCCTCGATAAACCTCCTATTGTCACGGGTTCGCTACCTGCCTTCTGTGCTTTAGAATTTGCTACTGCAGGCAAGCTATGCCTATCAGAAGGAATTCCACCGTCCTCGGAGAGATGCGATGATACTAGCTTTGTACCCTATGCAATGGTTGCAGGTTTGTCCTACGATTGGACCAGAAGATTTCAATCTGCCATATCTGAAGCCGTTCAGATTCGCTTGACTACCAGCCACGAGATCGTTGCCTAGGTACTTTTACAGTTTCTTTCTGATATGGCACAGCAATTGACCACTCGTGAGACAGGCCGAGTAGTGGGGGGCTGCGTAGGACGATTAAATCTAAAGGAAATCTTAAGGCACCTCGGTGTTCCCTGGTATGTATAAGAAGACAGTCAATCCTCTTGCTACCAGGTCCTTATCAAGTCCTCATCAAGTCCTCAATTCCAGGATCTGCCATTCTATCTTCAATCTGTACATCGCCCTCGGAACTTGTCAAAGATGCTTTCCCACATCACAGCCTTCCTCGCTCTTGGAGCAATTGCTCAAGCAGCTCCAACTCCAGCTCCAGCAGCTGCCTCCTCCGGTTCAGCCTCCCACAGTGTAACAGCAATTCGCAATCCGAACTATGTTCGTAATGGTACTGCATCTTTGCTCAAGGCTTATGCCAAGTACCACATTCAGCCTACCCAACCAATGTCTGATGCGTTCATGTCGGCACTCCAAAAGAGACAGGATTCTTCTGCTCCAGCTTTCCCAGTCGATGGTGTTGAGTATCTCGTTCCTACTACCGTTGGAGGTCAAACTCTCAATCTTGACTTGGACACTGGCTCGGCAGATCTGTAAGTGCTACAATTCTTTAGAATACCTCCACCCTGCAAATCGTGATCCTAGAGGTCAACCTTACTTCAAGTGATGATCAATGTATCTCACCTTATTTTATCAAATTTACTAACTACTCTATCAGATGGGTTTTCTCCTCTCTTTTAGCTGCCTCGTCTCGCAAAGGTCATGACATGTAAGGAACCATTCGTACCAAATGAGATAGCATAAGTCAAGAACTAACAAAATGCTTTAGCTATACCTCAAGTAAGAGTTCCACATTTGAGGCTCTCTCAGGTTACACCTGGAGTATCCAGTATGCCGATGGATCTGGAGCGAGTGGCACTGTAGGCACAGATACCGTTAAGATTGGTGAGACTACAGTCACTGGCCAAGCAGTTGAGCTTGCCGACAGAGTCTCTTCTTCATTTGTCACTGATGAATCCGATGGACTCATTGGTATGGCTTTCAGCAGCATTAACACTGGTAAGTCTTCATGGCCTAGATATCCACTCGATGAGAAGATCGCGTCGTCTAACTTCCCATACAATTAGTTGAACCAAAAGCTCAATCCACCTTCTTTGACAATGCCGAGAGCTCTCTCAGTTCCCCGCTCTTCGCTGCCTACCTCCCATTGAATGCGGATGGGGCATACGACTTCGGATACACCGATTCTTCCAAATACACCGGAAGTATCACGTACACCCCTGTCGATTCCGGAAACGGTTTCTGGGAATTCCCATCTGCGTCCTACAAAGTCGGCTCTACAGCCCACAGCTTATCAGGATTCACTGGTATTGCTGATACAGGAACCACACTTATCCTCATGAGCGACGCCGTCAATACTGCATACTATGCTCAAGTATCTGGTGCCAAGTACTCCAGCTCTTACGGAGGATACGTATTCCCTTGCGATGCTACTCTCCCTACCTTGTCATTCAAAGTCGGCCCAACTGACTATGCGACAATCCCGGGTTCTTTGATGAATTTTGCGGTTGCGGATGGAAACACTTGTTACGGCTCGCTTCAAAGTGTAGGTGGCGGTAGTCAGAGCATTTATGGAGATGTTTTCTTCAATGCATACTATGGTGTTTTTGACAAGAGTGGACCTTCCTTTGGTTTCGCTACTAGTGCTTCTGCTTAAGAAACCATGAATGGTATGATGGGATTGATCTGGGGGATTCGGGTATGAAATTATGGGAATGAATGACTTGATGAAGCGGAGATTTGATTTGGATTTCTGCGAGCGGGGGTTCTGCAAACTTGGTTCTTAATGTCATATTCGGTTGCTTCTCTTTATTATGATTCACACATTTATCAATATTCCTGCTGTCTTGTTAATGATTTTCGTGATCTTTTGTTTGTGAAATTTGATTCCTGGTATGATGTGCTGTGATGGGAGGAGAAATGAAGGGGGGAGAGGAGAAGTGAATCCCCCGGCTATGCTAAGAGCTAGGCTCGGTACGACGTCTTGGGCGCTAGTGCAAAAGCATCAGCGCTATGGATATTGTTTGGTATCTACCTAGGTAGTGTTTCGGGATACTGCCAAGTTTTGGCCGCGGGTACAAATTACAGACTTCAAGATACGGTCAAGAGATCGATTGGAAATTTAGCGTGGAGTCAGCAGTACTGTTTGATTGGATGCTCGAGGACGTGGCGCTTCCGCTGAACTTTGCTACATGATTGAGATGAGAAGATGGCGAGTCAAGGTTCCTAGGTAGTTTTTGATGTTTGCTAGGTACCGAGACTCGCATATGAAGGTAATCTAACAGGGAATCAGTGAGAAACAGAAGTTAGATGGATCATGGTGAATACTGATCCCGTCACTGAAGAGGTAGACTCGCTTTGAGATCAAGTTGAAAATGCTTGAAGTGTTTCATGGCATTACGTACCTAGGTATGCAGTGCATTTAGAATTATTGATTCATTATATCCCCTTCCGAGGCCTATGGATTTATCCCGTACAATCATCATGTAAATTTTCACCCCGGGTTGGAATGTATAGATTCTGGAAGGAGGGAACAATCGTGCAGTCCTGCTTTGGCGCTCTGGCGAAGGTTGGAAGGAACCTTCACTATCGCGACTATAAGCCCCCCTCTCTCTCTTTAAATCGAAAACTTCTTTTGCCGGTGCGTCAAAATATAGATTTCACAGGAAAATTGAAATTGTGTTCAGGCAATGTCGTCTTTTCTGACTATCCTCGATATTCAATGTATTAGAAAACATTTGACATATCGGGCTGTAAGATAACTTCCTCTTTGGGACGAATTTCTACTGCATCTATATTTCCCATCAATCTTCTCACATTTATGGCTGTTGTCTTACAACCCATATGGCATGACATATATACTAGGTAGATTGATCTTGAACTTAAAGGTCTGGCGTCAACTCTTCGCACGGCGCAAACCAAAGATGAAAATCCCATTATATATAGCCAACAGCTATCAAAACACGAGTGTCCTAACTACAACAGAATTAGTTCCGACTAAAAGTATATGTATACCTACCTATCTAAGTAGCTAATTAGAAGGTATATGAATGCTCTACTCTCAGATTGTAGAGTTCAGATCTCAAAGCTAACAGCCGATACCTCCTCGTATTCTGGGCCAGCTTCGATGTTCAAGAGCTCAAATCCAAAGCACCATGATTGCGTCACTTTATCACCTTTTACACTTCAGCCACTGGGTAGACAACATTCATAAGGCGAGACCGGTGCTTTTAAAGTTCGAAGATTAACTCGAACGTCAGAGGTGATGTCACATTGAACGGAAGTAAAAGTTTAAGCCCAGCATGCACATTTGCTGGGCTTCCACCTGTTGATTGCCATTGAGAGATTCAATGTCTACTTGTTAGTTTTCCATTCATTCTACTCGCTTGCCAGGATACCTAGCAGAATTTGATATTGTGTTCGCGAGGCAAAAGTGAATCTGATGACAATACAAACGCCCATGCCATAAGAAGAAGAAAGTCAGTACAGCCAATCAACAAACTACAACCGTACGATAGAAAATTATAAGAGGTTGATAATCGAATGGTATAAATTCACACATATATTTCTCTCCTCGTAAATCAAACTCCTCCCTTTTCTGTCTCCAGAATTCATATTATCATACAAATCAATAACAATCAACGAAACAATGTCTATGGAATTCGGAAATGTTCAGTCGGCGGCCATTGAAGGCGCGACTTTTACCTTCAATCTCGACGATGCGCCAGCTCAAAAGCAGAAGGATGGCACGTAAGTACTATTTATCAACAATTCACGTGATGAGCGTAACAATGCTAACCTTGGAATGTACAGTCCTTTGAAGCCTTGTCCCAGGACCGATTGCGTCGCACATCGAACAAAGCAAACGCAGCTTGAATGGGAGCTCAAAGAAGTGCGCATGTTGGCCCAACAAAAGGAAGAGCAGGTGTCGACAAGAGTCGCCCAGCTCGAATCCTATGACCAAAGACTTCAAGCGGCACATATCGATCTTGCAGCTTTTGAACCTATCGTTGCGAAATTGGAAGCAGGTTACATCGAAGAAAAGAGGAAGAACGAAAATTTCGCACTTCTCGAAGAAAGATACATTCAAGAGAAGAGGAATCTCGAAGCAAGATATACCGCAGAGAAGAAGAAGCAAACCGCCGAGTACGAGGGTCTAAGAGAGAAACACTTTGACCTACAGAATAAAATGGCCGAGTCAAAAGTAGATAACGCTGCTATTATAGAGGAGCTTGAAGCGCAGATTACAGATTTGGAGTTAGCGATTACAGAGAAGGACAAATACATTGGATATGTCGAAACTCAAATGAAAGGTAGGGAAGAGAGGTGTGTCGTTAGAGAAGGTCGATGCGACGCTATCGAGGGAGAAAGACGCACTTTGAAGCGCAACGTACTGGAGCTCCAAAAGGTTATCGATGATATGCAGAGAAAAATGGAAGATATGCACGCGGAAAATGAGGCAATGATTTACGAATTGAAAATCTGCAAGGAAGATCTGGCGGACCTTACAATCGAAAAGGAAAAGCTCGTAAACCGTGTGGCCGCTGAAAAGCAAAGAGTTGATGATTTCAGAGACGATGCTAGAGAGATTCAAAAACAAAACAAAAAGATACACGATGATTTGGTGAAAAAAGAGCAGGAAACTCAGGCGCTTCTTGAAAATATGGAAAAGGCCAACAAAGATCTTGTGACCAAAGGAGGAGTTGGAGCATCACCAGAAGTGCAAAAGCTGATGAGAGACTATATCGAGATGTGCCGCAGTATCATACAACAGATTATAGACACTCGAAAGGCCCAAACCCCAGGTTTTAACCCAGCCCCAGGAACTTACCAACCCAAGGACGGTGATAGTGGTAAAAGTTCAGCGGCAGGTAGCAAAGAACCTAGCGAGAGCAGCAGCAGCAGTAGCAGCTCTTCCGAAGCCGAGGAAGAAGAGGGGGAAGTGGAAGAGGGAGAGGGAGAGGGAGAAGGAGAAGGAGAAGGAGAAGGAGAAGGAGAAGGAGAAGGAGAAGGAGAAGGAGAAGGAGAAGGAGAAGGAGAAGGAGAAGGAGAAGGAGAAGGAGAAGGAGAAGGAGAAGGAGAAGGAGAAGGAGAAGGAGAAGGAGAAGGAGAAGGAGAAGGAGAAGGAGAAGGGGAAGGTAGTCCCGATCTCCAACTCATCAACAAGAAAACCAGACGTCGCGGACATGGCCCTGCTGCTGGTCCTGAGATTCAAATTCAGATTAAAGAAGTAGAAGTGATTCGAGAAGTTTACATTCCCGGCCCTGAAATTCTCGTTCCTGGTCCTACTATTGAAGTTCAGGTCCCTGGTCCTATTCAATTCGTTGATCGCGAGATACCTGTGCCAGGACCTACCGTATTCGTCGATCAACCAGGTGAAGCTATCCCGGGACCAATTCGTTATACGCCATTCCGAGTGTTCGCTCACAATCCCGTCATCTGCTGGCTCTTGGTCGAATTCAATTTCCTCATTCTTTTCTTCCACTGGTGTAAGCATCTGTTGAAGGTTCTTAGTTGGCTCCCTGCATTGACTATTGGACTGGGCCCCTGGAATCCAACAACTCCTGATGAAGATTCCGATTCCGACGAGTCTGACGCAGCTGACGACGATGATGCAGCTGGAGAACCTCCGGATGTTGATAGGCCACCCAAAACTGGACCTAAACTTCTCTCTGTATTATTCAATCCAAAGCATGGAAGATTACCAAATGCCTGGGATACTTTTTGGGGTTTGGTATTTCATATGGTCGTCTATAGTGCACTCTGGTTGTTTCTCTCGGTTGCTTACGAACGCAAACTTTGGCTTGCAGAAAACGATTCTACTCGTAGATGGCTTTGCCAAATCATTGCGCAGCACGGCGGTAATGGTTTCCTTGGCATGAATCAAATCTTGCCTCAACGTGTCATTCGTCTATTAGAGATATGGAGGTTTGAACTTCTGGAGCGTATGGGCTATCCTGTCGCATATCAGTTCCCTGGTTGATATGTACGCATGTGATATGTGGGTTTATACTACCTGGGGAATATATATTGAAGAATTGGGGCATGTTTATCATACACAAACTCTGGGTTTGATGAGCAGAATTCTTCTTTTAAATGCGTCTTTTGCCTCGCTTCTCTCAACATACTTCTCCTCGCCAAGTTCCTTCCATGGCACACGCGATGCACAGTTGTATGGAATTGGTGCTACTCCTCTTTCGTGGTGTTTTGGATGGGTGGATGGATGGATGATGGAATATCCTAAAGTTACTACTTTACGAAAAGAACGACATGTTCATAATTTCTCCTTATAGTTCTGGTTCTGCACATTGATGTATTTTTTCTGCTTGTTTCATTTGGACACACGCACCTACTCGGATGAGAAGAGTAAATTGGGGATTAAATATGAAGCCTCGAGATAGTAGAAAGGGCCGCTGAACTTCTAAATAGTATACGGTTTTACGTCTGCTCGTCGGTCTCTAAGGCGATTCAAGATTAGCATTGGATTGGCACACATGTATTGAATAAGATGTATTTTTTATTTAGACACTGTTCGTATTAGAGCTTGTGAAATGTTGATTGAACATGCATCTTTCGGAATGTCCGGATATGAGATAGAGGTGAATATCAATACTCTGTGTACTTTTCGTATTGTCCGATGACAGAAACAAAAGATGATGATTGTGAGAACCAGGAAGTATTTGATATTTCTGAACAGAAGGAAGTATTTGAGACTAGGTATGTACTGCTCGATTACCTTTCCTGTTTCTCATCAGGCCGTCATGCCGTCATGCCGCACATATGTCATCTCTAAGCTATCTCGGCAAGCAAGAGAACGACGAGCTTTGAAAGAATTACACTTTTGAAAAATCATTCTCAAATCATCCACTTATGATTCTATTGGTGAGTTTAGATGAAGGAAGCCATGGACGTCTACTGTTTGCGTATATAGGATGTCCAGATCTTCAGATTATTCGAATTGATTGCAATTTCATTTCCAAATCCTAATGTCCAGACCCATTTCATCGTCTTTCTCCATCTTTGCTAATTCTAGGCTTTGACCCCCTGTAGACACAAACTGCCTCGGCATGCTGTATGCTTGCTTATTAAACATCCATTTCTTTCTTCAGTCCAGACTTCAAAATCGAATTCCAAATTATCCATTTGCTGACAGAGAATTCAAGATTGAAATGTTCGGAGTGATTGCAATTAATAGTTTATAAAGGTTCAAGTATTTATTTCTCTTTCCTTTCTCTCTCATATCTGTTTTTCATATCGAATTCATTCTCAGTAAGGTTACCTACCTGCATCGTACATATCCTACGTTTTCGTCTTCGTCACATTGCAAACAGCCATCAAATAAACATCTAGAACCACTAGGCATTGATCACGGGTTATTTTCCGCATGCGATAACGTCATAGGATTTTAAAAGTCACTCCACCATATCAATCAATCGATATCGAAGAGTACAACATCGTTTCGCACAACCTTTTTTCTAGCATCACAACATCCACAAATCCGTACAAACATATTTTCACCATGTCCGACAAACTCGTTCCTTCAGATCCTGAGAAAGTCATGGTTATCCGTGATGTGACGCCGAATGTGACGACACTCTCAGTGCCCTTCTTACGATTTGGCATGATCAAATTCGGTGGTAGAGCTACTATTGGTACAACTCTCTTCTTCGTGCGCTCATCCCATACAAATGCTAATAGCTCATCCCAACAGTCCGTCTCACATCTGGTCAACTCGCCGTCTTCTCTCCCGTTGCCCTCACCCCCTCGGTAACAACCAAACTCCAATCCCTCGGAAACCGCGTCGCCTACGTCGCAGCCCCCGATCTCGAGCACCACATCTTTCTTTCCGACTGGCACAAAGCCTATCCAAACGCCCACTTCATTGCCCCGAGGGTCTTGCGGAGAAACGTGCTGAACAAGCCAAGTCGGATGAAAAGGTTACCAATGTCCATTTCCAAACGATTTTTACCAAGAAAAACAAGGCCGAGATTCGAATCTCGCCGGAATTCGACACAGACTTCGAATATGAATTTGTAGATTCGCATCCGAATAAGGAATTGGTGTTTTATTATAAACCAGATAGAACATTGATTGAAGCAGATATGATGTTTAACATGCCGGCTACAGAACAGTATTCTAAGACGGGAGAGGATGCTAGTTCGGGATTTGCGACAAAGTTGTTTGGTCATCTTCAGACGACTAATGGATCGGCAATATGGCAAAAGAGAATGTTGTGGTACTTGTTCAGTAAGAGTGATAGAGAGGGTTTCAATCGGAGCGTGAAGAGAATTAATACGTGGGGATTTGAGAACATCATACCTTGTCATGGAGATACGATTGTTGGGAATGGTAAAGGGATTTTTGAAAAGGTCTTCGCGTGGCATTTGCAGGGAAAAAATTCCAAGTAGGAGTATTTGACCACGAGACTGAAAGAGAGGAGTTGGAGAAAGGCGTCTTCTGGAGGGGATGGGTGGGATGTGAAAGTTAATAATAATTCCTTTCGAATATGATATTGAATATGGAGTGGATGTTTTCATTATGTAGGATTATGGGATATTGGATAATCGTTTCCTTGCGAGTTTGGGAACGCTTCTCAAATTTGAGCATTAGCGCTTGTGAAAAGGGAAGAACGGAATTAGAGTTAATACTTAGCTATCAGATTATTTTCACACGGGGTTTCTCTCTTTACACGCATCTGACTTTTGCCTGTCACATTTTCTTCTTCTGTTATTGAGGAGGTCAAATTTATCTTGCTCTATGTTGGTGATCGTCACCCGAGGAATAAGTATTCGCTATACCTAGAATCTGGGAAATCCAAAGCTCTATCCAAATATCACCACACATCATCCTTCATTGTGCTCATCCACTTTGTCAACTTTACTCTTTCTGGTTGAGATCCTGTGAGTGTGTAAGTGCACGTGCAAAATACGTTTGCTAGTTTTGAGTTTGCGAGTTTTGAGATTGAAATGTATATGGGTTTATGAGTAGTAAAGGCTAAGCACTTAGAAGGACTAGGCGATCGAGTAGTGGCTAGGTACCTCAATATTTTGAAGAAGTTTTTGTGCATCCGCTAGAAGTGGCATGTGTGTCTGAAGCGGCAGAATGAAATGAAATAGAATAGCCTACATGCAACTGCAAGAAAAGGAACGAAAAGGAGAAACAAGAAGCTCTGAAGAAGTGCAGATCAGCGGAAAATAGTCGTTGACTCTTGGCCTTGGGAGTCTGGGCTCATTTTGAAAATCCACGACTACTTGTAAGTGACGACCCGCGATTGAAGCTTGAGTGGAGTGTGTTGATGATGTGCTGTAATCCCTGCTCTGTCGCTTGGGCAGGGGGTAGAAATCAATGTCTTGGCCGAGTGAATGATTTATCTGCATTGTGCGGAAAGTTTTGGTGCTTGATTGGATATTTCTGGGATAAGTTGTTGGCGTGTTCTGTCTTCTGTGGGGTTTGCCGTGTCTTCATAGGTGAGTAGGTCATTCAAGAATGTAGAATGCAGATGTGATTTCGGGTAATCGTTCTCTATAACTCAGTCGACTTCCAAACTCAAGCTTGCATCTTTTTCTTTCAATAATCGATGACGTTAGACTGATTCGAGATTCAGTAAAGATTTGTCGAAGATGAGTGGAAAATGTAGAAGTAATCGTGCATTTTTATGAGTGCGTTGTGGGTTCAGAAGCAGTCCTTGAATCTTACCGAAAGACCACCCGCGCAAAGATGTGGCTCGATGGTGGTGTACTCCATCTGTTGTAGATGTGTGTCTTTATCACCTTGATTGGAGCCGCGCTTGCTGCTGCTCTTGATGATGCTAATACTTCCTTGACCAAAGGGGATGTAACTTACTTAAGTGCCAAGTGGGTTGCGCGAAAGTTATCTGTACCCGTGAATAATCTGCAGACAACTGAAGGATTATATGCGGATTATTTGCATCTATTTTCTTGTCATGTGTTGAACTTGGCCTAAAGAATCCTCGGTGAAAATCCAAATGAACCGCCTAGAGAAACAATGTGTTCTTCGACTGTTCTATGACAGCGATCGTAATTTGTTTCTCTTCGTTTGGGGTATAAATGACACAATGTTGAAAGTTGTCACCCGAACTGGGTCAAGCCACACCATATACGTGCATGGAAGTTCCTCCAATGTCTCATTTGGGTAGGAGAGATGACTTTTCTCATGGTTTAAAAATAAATGAAGTAGCAAAATCAATCCGCAGAAATACTGGCGAATCATTAAAACAGAATATCCGGGAAGAGTACTACCCGTATACGCGAGTCTTTCGGTTTCTTATTCCATTCCGAGTCGGACACCATTCCACAAACTCTCAACGACATAATAAGTTTCCTATTCCTGAAGTCTTGTTATCACATCTTCCTATCCTTTTAGGCATCAAACTAGCCATTTCCAAAAAAGAACTTGCGCTCACCTCCTTTCATCCTCCTTTCAACAAACCCTCAGACTCTTCTCCAACTCCACCCTCCACACGCATAATCCAAATCCAAACAAGCCCTTTCACATCCAAATCCACATCCTTTCCCATCTCTCCCATCCTCTCAATCCATGCAAGCAAAACCCACCACTCACCACACCAATAAACCAGAAACCCCATCCACAGATCCCGCCATGCGCGTTCCACTTCCGTACTTCATCGGGAAGAGAAATTTCACCAGTGCGGTGGCGCGGTGTTTCGTTTTCATCCGATCTTGTTTCTTGCGAGGTCCAATCACGTTGTGTTTTCATATACCCGGGTAGGCTTCAAATTTTTTATTCATTCGGGAATGTGAGGAATTTGATGCACAGATTTACCTAGGTAGGGTTGTGTGTAAGTGTTAGGATTGGATATGTGAGGAGTTGACTTTGTGGAAATCGAAAGTTTCACGGGAGGTAGGGGAATGAGAAAAGAAGGATTTGGTAGACTGGAAGGTTGTAATGGGATAAATGAATAAACAAATGAAAGAATAGATGAATGGATGGATCAATGAATGATATCGTTCGATTTCTAACCGACGAAAATTGTGCTGATTTGAGGAGATCAAGTCAGTTTACCCTGATAAAATGGCTTGTGAAGTGCTTATGCTAGCAGATCTTATGAGCTATCATATCCCGACTTCATGAAGTTTTTCTTATGATCAATTAATAAGATCAAAAATAACTTTAAAGACCCTCAAACAAGCGTCAACACAGAGTGTAAATCTACGTCGTTGATTTGAAACTTTTCTAATGTATTTAAAAACTATATCACTGCACTTATATACCACAAAGATACAGACAGAAAACAATCTCTTATCTTCACCACGACACCTTCGCGTCCTCTAACGCTTTCTCTACGCCGTCCCTGCCCCTTCTCTGCATCAGCCTTCTCCTTTAAAGCTCACCTTGTCACATTCTCATCCCATCTCAACTCGTTGCCTCACCTCCGATCATATATTCATGCGTTGGTTGCCTAAAAGCAATGCCAAGCCTCATAAAATTTCGACAGTGCCTTGAGCGGTACCTTTCTTCTCCAGCCCAAATTTGCTTTCTCATCGATTTTCATTTCATTCCAACCCCCTCTCCCGCTCGTCTTATTTGTCGCTCCATTCTTGTCATGACATTACAATATGTTATATTTGTCAATCTCTCATCCCCCTTTCCCCAAGAAGCAGAAAAATATCAATGAATCATGCACCCAACCAACCAGCCACCAAATGCTCAAAAACGTACAAAAATGCTCCCCGCTCCACGCTATGCAAATCTCATCGAATCAAGCACCAGGCTGGAACGACCGTATAGGCAATTAGACATATATACACACACAATTGATAGAAATTCGTCTTTCGTATAGTACACTCACTGTTTGAGTTGTTCTGTTGTTGTTTTAATTAAATCCCCATCTTTCTATCCAGAATTGAACTCGGAACACGTGAGCCTCTCCCCAACTCGATTTCGTCACCGGGGTGATGTCTAAAAGCTGGGTTCTCACTCATGTTGCGTTGATGGCCCTCGGCAAACAAAGGTTCGGGAACCTGTGACCGGTGGGTATATGAAATAGGAATTTCTGGCATTGCTGGTATTTCCATGTCACTTTGTTGTTTCCTTTCTACCCGTCCTGTTTGTTGAGCTACCCATGAATTGACAGTCCGAAATCGTGGCGCCGTTTCCTCTGACGTTGTTGTGTATATAGTGTCTCTATTCTGTGGCGCACCTTGAGACGCTGTTGTCCAAGAAAATCTGGACACTGGAATTTGCGGAGGTGCACTATCATCAGGCATGACAAGTGAGTCACCAAATCCCGACGATATTGAAGACAAGTAACTCATATGATTGACCTCCCTTTGAGAAGGATCATAGGCATTTGAAGATTGTCCCGAGAGTGCTGACTGTTGAGATCTTATAGTCCCTGTTTGAGAATAATAGTAATCCATATTGCTTGGAGGTCCATATGATTGACCTGAGCCGGCAACTGGACTGGCAGACATACCAGATCCTGAATGATTGCTCCTGGTTGAATTTTGCCTTTGGAGATCTGTACGCAGTTCCCGTAAGTTTACAGTTGCCGATCCCGGGCGTTCGAGTGACGATTTGTTGTCAGAGTTATAGAAACCACCCATTTCCCTTTCAGCGAATTTTTCATCAATAGGATATCCATTTTGTGAAACTTTGCCGCTAGCATAACTGGGAGGACGACCTGGGTCACCTCTGTTTCTTCTCCATCCATACCAACGAGCTTCTTCTTCTGATATCTCTCCTCTTGCTAATCGATTGAGCTTCTTCATTCTGATTACAAGATATATGATAGCGCCAAAAATGACGAATATGCCTATTGATTGAGGTCAGTAACGGTTAGTTATCACGCCATCTTGAATCACAAACCTATTGATCCAGCACTTATTAGAAGCTTCTCTGCCAGAGGACTAAGATCGCCATCATTTCCGTGGCGAAATTGAGGTGGTATGTCGGAAGGAGATGACCCATCTTCATCTGCTTGAGCAGTCGGCGCAGAGCTTGCACTGATGGCCTCATAGGCAGTAACGGTAGATGTGGTAGCCGTGGGACTTTCGCATGGAGCTCCATTGGAAAGGGTACATAATCCTTTCCTTCCTGGTTGCTCTGAGCTTGGTATGCTGAATGTGACAGCCCCTGTTGGCAATGAAGATGTGGCAGACGTAATGGATATCTGTCTATAGTCAGTACACCCACCCACACAAAGTTTCTGTCCCAACTCACTGAAGTCGATGTTGAGGATGCCGATGTCGATGTGGAGCTTGGCGTAGCAACAACAACGACAGTCATCACACTTGATGAAGTAGTGATCGCAGTCTGCGTAGTCCAGGCAGTGGCAGTTTGTGTAGTCCAAGCAGTATTTGTTATTTGAGTCCACGCAGTCCTTGTGACCACAGGTGTGGGCATTTGTGAGCTATCGACCTGTTTATCTTGATGATCGTCGCTGCGCTCATTGCTGTAATCATCATCCCGTTCGCCGTTTCTACCATTTCCATTCCCATTATCACTGCCCTTTACATCCCTTTTTGCTAATTGAAGGTCGTCTAACATAACATTCCTTTGAACCAGTCGGTTCATATACTCTTCTGGTTGATCTCTCATTGGTGCCATTGTCGTATTCATTCCTCCGCCGAGTCGCCGCTGCCCCGTATCGCCGACCGACAGAAGCTAGTTGGATACGGACATGAACTGATGAGTATTATTCGTTGTCGTCGTCGTTGTCGTCGTCGTTGTAGAGACAGAGTGAGTGTGAGAATTAGATGCCAGATCTGATTGAAAATATTGATCAAAGAAAGAACGTCACGATCCAGCCGTGTATAGAACGTGAGTGAGAGAACAAACGGTTGACAAGTGAAAGCAACCAAGAGGTAACCAAGTCGAGAATCTTGGACCTCCGAAAGATTTGAGACTAGCTAACAGGGTGGAGAAGAGATTCGCGACATGCTGGTTTGGCACTGGACAGACAATTGAGGGAAGTGGACGTTCTATGCTACTCTCGGAATGGTCATGTATTGAATTTGAATCTGGGGACCAACCGAGAATTGTACATAATAGACGTAATGCAAAGCCACAGTGAAGGATTGGTGTATGCGTCAACCACAAGGTAAGAAAGCATTTCGAGGCCACACTACGCTCGCAATATTGAGCTCCTCCCCTGTGGTCCAGACTAAATTGAGGTTAGGGCCCAGTATCTCAAGCATTACTGCGTTTGACATGAGACTCTAGGCTGAGCGATGCCCCTGCTAAGAAGTACGAAGAATGCTGCAGATCATTGCCATACGACCAGGAAGTCCGCAACAGTATGCAACAGAAATTGACCGGTGGACTGACATAGCATAGGAAAACTTGATGATATCTGGGACGGAGAGAGTGTTTCGCGCACTGTCCCCTGGTTTCATCATGGACCCGCTCGACTCACTTGATATCTGCGGAAGAAAAAAATGGTAAGTACAGCAAAGTTCGTTCTAGGATTCTTCTGAATCGTTGAAAGATGGCTTCAACCCATTGAGAAAAGTGAGTATACAGTATTGAGAGCATAAATTTTGTTGTTGCAACTTAGAGAGGTTCGTGAGTTGGAGAGAATTAAGAAGGACGGAGGTTCCAAATATTTCGCAAGGCTGAATGAACAAGGCATAGCATGGCCTATTTTGATACCTTACTTTACTCCGTCCATCGTACACACGGATGATTAACAACGCTAAACTCAAAGAGGGGTAATCTTCCGAGGATAAGCTTAGATTGCGGTTTGCTGTAGAGGAAGCGTAAGCTGATTTCATAATTTATCATTATTATCGAATCACGGAGGTGTTTGTGGCAACACCTCGAGAATACCTACTCCTCTCGTATAGACACATCGGCATACGAGAAGAGTATCTAGGATGCCATTCAAAACATGAGAAAATCTTCAAATATAAAGCAATTTACATCTCAATGCATTCATACCTGGACCCATCTTCACAGCCACCCACTGGAAGTATCGTGGCTTCAGCAGAAGTAGATTTCGGTTCCGACACGGCTGGCACGTTATCCTGCTTCTTTCTTCAAAATTCCATGGCAAGCATGACCGAGGATAGAAGACCATGTCTTTAAAGCGGCTGTAGCCATTTACAGATAACGAACATCAATTCATGTGACCAGCTTTCTCTCTGATAACCCCGGCCATCATTGTTCTAGTACAATATCCAGAATTGGGACATACATGTAAACACCCAGTACTGCTGTAAAATTCTTAACCCGCATCATTCACCATCGTCCTTTTCCCTTTCTTCCTTTGATCTCAATTCGATCTCTTACAATGGACTTCACCATATCTCGACTTACAGAAGATGACATACCTGGAGCTGTGAACACCATTCAGGAAGCATTTAAAGAAGATCCTTACAACCTGTGGATTTACAATGATCGATCAAAGGTAGAGTTTTTCTTTGAATTTTCAAGCGTCGTAGCAAGTATTGGTTCCGATTCGTCTATAGCTGAAATCATCACGAAAGCGTGTTTCGTGATACCTGATACTATCTCGTTTGTTCGTCACTGACACGGAACTTTTGACAGTTGAACCTAGTCAGAAACTCGGTATCTCTTGGCATTCGATGTCGATGGGGAATTCGAAACGGCTTGTTCTACGTTGCTAAAGACTCTCAAAGTCATAGAGTTTTAGGCGTTGCAATGTGGTTACCACCCAAATCTGCTGGATCGCCGGAGACGTGGGCAGAATGGATTGACAGTTGGGCCATGTGGGCTCAACAAGTTGGTATGAATATTTGGTACGGTCGAGGTGGCCTAAATGTGAAGGTAAGCAAGCTATAACGTACCGTATATTCTGTCTCGTTTCCTTTCGCGCAGATGCCTCAAAGTCATGAGTGCTATTTGTGTTACTGTGTTGCCGCTATCTCCGTTTCTTTTGTCGGTGTGAACTCCAAGCTATCTACTAGAATTGTTTTTGGGCGGAGTCTTTTTTTTTTCGAAGATGAGACTCTAGACAAACGTTGCCAAGTCCTACAAGCAGCGAAGCTAAGTCATATAAGCAATGGCTAAGCTAGCCCTACTTCTGACACTTTTGAATGTTTCCCCTCATCTCCAGTGAAGTACTCTATCTTTGTCACATACCCTTTTAATAGATTCATGAGACGACCCAATACTATCATGAGGTGCAGGGTGAGATCTCGAAGGATGAGAATTAGTAGTCCTGAAAAGAATACTGACGTAGACTCGCCACAGCGTTATTACATCTGGAAGGACAGGCAAGCAGAAGCCCAATCTGATATTTGGACCGATCCCCGAGGATACTACTTTCTAAATATAATGGTTGTTCATCCTGATGCTCAAGGAAGAGGAATCGGAAAAGCGCTAGCAAAGGAAGTAACCAGCATTGCTGACGCAGAAGGGAAAAGATGCTATCTTGAATCTAGTCGGGATGTTCCCAACATGAAGATATACGAAACCTTCGGATTCCATTTTGAAAAGAAGATGGTTTGCGACGACGAAGGTGATACTTGCAATATCTATTGTATGATTAGAGAACCACAAACAGACTCGAAAGGATCTAAAAAGGATGTATGAGAATGTGCCTCTATAGGTATTTGAAGATGCTAGACGGTCATTCTTCTTCGCTAACACCGCTAAATTATGACGATATGATTCACTCAAAGAAGATGACCGTTCTCGCCTCACAAGCACGGATTAGATGAACCTTTCTGTGTTAATGAATGGGAGAACTCCAGTTCCCAAGACTCGGCATGGCATGGGTTGTCCAATCATCATTGTCACTTTCGGTGGTTCGGAAATCCGGTAAACTCTCCAAAATCTCCGAACAAACCGAGAATGACTGGTACAATGTTCAGTACATGCGTAGGAGATAGATAGTACGGGGTAGGAACAATACATACTCTAACCTGTGTAAAGGATGATTTCATCTGAATTGCTATTTCTGGGCATCTTTTGAATCTGGCCAAGTGCTACTCTACTCGTAGGTACGAGGTATAATGAACCATGTTAAAGATAGGGCGCCGAAGAGTCTGATTTTGGTGGCGGACTCCACATACCAAATCTTACAAACCGAATTGACATTCCTCGAATACAAGTGGTGAAGAAAAGTCTAGTCTGTGGTCTCCGTCACAGTGCCACCGAAGTACCACCTAAGCAGACCCACGATGGCACAATTTCAACATACCATGCGTAGGTAGGTGTGCCTTTGGTAATATGTAGACAATTTCATGACTTTTGACCTCTTTTCCTCCCATACGGTCCTGGAACACATGTTCATATATGATTAAGATCGAGGAAGAAGACCAACGGATCAACACACAACCAGATCAAAGGCGTTGCGATATAAGTATACCCAGGTACGAGTGAGCGATTTATTCTCATTCTAGATGAATTTCCCTTGGTCAATTTGCATTTGATTCCGAGGATTTTATTTGGGCGCATGCCAGTTAATCAATCAAATCACTCTTTTGTGATGAAGCGTTGGTAAAAAGTTGAGCTTATCTTTTTATCGGCTCCGGTGCGTAATTTTATCCCTGTACTGTAAATTTTTAGCTCAGAATCAGAATCCTAGCTTTTATCAAAATAAAAATTCCCTTTCCATTTGATAATTTGATAATTCTGACTTCCACTGTACTTCTCCATTACTCTCCGCATTCCCCTACAATCCTCACCTCCTCCATTTTAGGAGCTCTAGGAGTATGGCGTTAGCGACAAGAATGATGAGGTTACCGACTTCAGCTGTTGGTCTTCGAACTATCGCTCAACGATCATATGCGACATCAAATCGGGTCCTTCTCTCAAGTGCGCGACCCAATGCCAGAGTCAATGTCAACAAGACTGCAATCTCCCAAATTGCTCAACGTACTTACGCAGATGTTGCTCCTGTTACTGTTAAGAAGCCAAAGCGATTTAGATTCTTGAGATATAGTTGGCGTCTCACATATTTGTCTTTGATCGGAGGGGCCGCTTATCTTGGATATGAAGTTTGGGAACTTCGACATCCAGAGGAGCAATTCCAGCCAGATCCAACCAAGAAAAATTTGGTCATTCTTGGTACGCACAATGCGTGTCTCCACTTTCCATATGGATAGCTGACATCAATTGGCTAGGTACTGGATGGGGTGCTGTTTCTCTTTTGAAGAAACTCGACACGGAAAACTACAATGTTATTGTTATCTCCCCACGAAACTACTTCCTGTTCACCCCTCTTTTGCCATCATGCACAACCGGTACCGTCGAGCACAGATCTATCATGGAGCCTATCAGAAGCATAACCAGACATAAGAAAGCTGCTGTCAAATTCTACGAAGCCGAAGCCACTAAAATCGACCCCGAGAAGAAGACTATTTCCATCAACGACAACTCTGATGTCAAAGGAGCTTCCCACACAACCGAGGTCTCATACGATATGTTGGTCGTCAGTGTTGGTGCAGAAAACGCAACTTTTGGAATTCCTGGTGTCAAGGAGCATTCTTGCTTCTTGAAGGAGATCGGTGACGCACAAGCAATCAGAAAGAAGATTATGGATTGTGTAGAGACTGCCACTTTCAAGGACCAATCTCCAGAGGAAGTTGAACGTCTTTTGCACATGGTTGTCGTTGGTGGTGGACCTACTGGTGTTGAATTCGCTGGTGAGCTCCAAGATTTCTTCGATCAAGATATTAAGAAGTGGGTTCCAGAAATTAGCGACAAGTTCAAGGTTACCCTCATTGAAGCTCTTCCAAATGTTCTTCCTATGTTCTCCAAGCAATTGATCGAATACACCGAGTCAACTTTCAAGGAAGAGAAAATTACTATCAAGACTAAGACGGCCGTTAAGAAGGTCACTGATAAGACCGTCGAAGCCGAGGCCACTGGACCAGATGGAAAGAAGTTCACTGAGGTCATGCCTTACGGTCTCCTTGTTTGGGCCACCGGAAATGCCGTCCGCCCTGTTGTCAAGGACCTCATGGCACAAATCCCCGCCCAAAAAGACTCAAGGAGAGGTCTCGCCGTGAACGAATATCTCGTTGTTCAAGGAACCAAAGATATTTGGGCCACTGGTGATTGCGCAGTTGCAGGATATGCACCAACAGCTCAAGTAGCATCGCAAGAAGGAGCTTTCTTAGCCCGTCTCTTTAACACCATGGCAAAGACCGATACCATCGAACATGAAATCCAAGAGTTGAGTTCATCCTTGAACCTTGGTCCTGGAAACGCCGCCCAAGTTGCCAAGGATATTGAAGCACATGAGAAGCAATTGAGAAGAATTAAGGATATCAAGCCGTTCCACTACACACATCAAGGTTCCTTGGCATACATTGGTAGTGAAAGAGCCGTTGCAGATGTTAGCTGGTTAAATGGTAACTTTGCTACCGGTGGTAATTTGACATATTTGTTCTGGAGAAGTGCATACTTGAGCATGTGTTTCAGCAGTAAGTTTTACCAATCCCTTGTCTCCCATTCACTTTGACTAACATGAATTCTAGCGCGCAATCGTGTTTTGGTGGTTCTCGATTGGCTCAAGTCTAAGACTTTCGGCCGTGATGTTTCTAGAGAATAGATGGTTAGAGAGAGTGGTTAAAAAAGAAAATTGGCGGGCTGGTCGGGATAGATGGGAATGAGGAGCGCGTGTAACAAATAACGAATTTTCGGGATAGACTGGTTTTGGTTCCTTCTTGAACTTTGCATTGGTGTTTTTTTATAGAATCTCCGGCTCGAGCTCGTGGAGAGTCGTTCAGGGAGTTCGAGGGCGCTGCTATACTATACTCAGAGGATTGAATGAATATGATCATTTTTCTTCTCTTTCTAATATGCGGTTTCAAAATTTGGGAGCGTGATGTGTTTGACAGGTGAAATAGGTACAGTATATATCTCTACATAGATGCTAATTTCTGTTAAAGCAAGAGTTGTCCCATTATCCCCTTTTCAACCATAAACTTGATTCTTCCCTCCTAATAAAGAATGCCCATGCAATCCTCGTGCACAGTGCCATAGCCTCATCGGTATTACGAGTGCCTAGTAGATTGGCTGTACCGAACAGTTTGCCCCTCCCCTCACCCTCTAAAATAAGCGCGCGGATCATAGAGGAAGCAAACTACATACGTACATCGAGTGCTCCACTCTGCTCTTTCTTCACCTCATCTTCTACTACGGTTGATCCTCCAATTATAGAATGAGACTAGATGGAATTCGTAGGGCCTCTTTCGCCACTGTACTGGAATTGCTCTTCTTAAATTCTATCAATGTGAAATGCTTATACAATTGATCGTGAAGAAAATCCAATTCACTTGTGCAAGCACGTAAAAGTATTGATCGGACCACTTCCTCAATCCCTTAATCCCTCAATGCCTCGAGGACATCACCAACGTATGATTTTTCTGGAATCACCAAACATAGACATCCCCTCAGATCATGCAGACAAATATTTACGATCAATAGAGATTCTAGAACTTTCCAGAACACATTAATTATAAATAGACCTTTCTCGCCTTTGGGGTTATACAAGAGGCGTGGGTGCCATCATATATTTGTCTTGTATGTGGTACTGAGGGGGGATGTTTGCCTTTCTCTCTAGTGTACCATCGGATCGGCATAGCAGGCTTGGTGTTTGTCCTACAGGTGTTGCCGACGAAGTCAAATGGGAATAGATGGGAAGACTAAGAAAACCCAAAAATTTCAAAGTCGGAAGTTAGGGTTCAAAACGTATTGATATATGCTTGACATATTGAGGAATGCTGATGTTGAGTGGCCTTTCGTGACTCGGGTCCATAGGTGTTGTCGGATCTGGGTGGTTCGGGTATGTGGTTTGAGCTTCACATCACAATAGAGTTGTTTGTAGTTGTCGGGTTATAGGTAAAGATGAGGAGATATTGAATATCTGTAAGTAGATGAATGCGGACCTAGTTATCGATGTTGTCAATGTTTCAATAACAATAATAAATGTAAGAGGCAAAGGCATAGAATACATCAACCAATACACACAAGGAATTCTATGACATTCTTTGCCATGCGAGGCTGACTTATTAATTATATTATTGATCATGTTATTGTACCAGATACAGCTACGGCTACAGCTACAATCCTCAGCAGCACCTAGGTATCATACATTATTTCTGTCCTCTCCCGTACCAGGCACTGAATTATATGCGTGGCCTTCTCGTTGCCTACCTTATCGATTATTCACCCATTTTTATTTTATTTTACCCCAACCAGTAGTCGCCTTCACCCAAATTTACTACGTTTACTGAGCTGTGCTTAAGCGGAAGAAACCAATAGAAAGATTCAAAAGCTCAACCTACCAAATTTAGTGCGGTTCCGTCATATTCTAAGGACGCTACCTTAACTAATACAGCCATCTTAGAGCTGTCTTGATCTCCAACACAACCTCTTCTTTCCATAAATTCTTACAAAAACATCCATCCTTCCTGAAAGTTCAATCTATCTTTCATCCACCTCTTCTTTCTTACTTTGATAAAGTCACTTTTAATAATAAACTCTATCGCCATTTGAAAGGACAATTTACAAACAGAACTGAATATTTGTTACGACTATCAAGATCAACCCTCTATCAAAATGTCTGCTGAACCCGACCACGTCGAGCACAAGAAGAAGGTCAATCTCAAGTAAGTATATCTTCATCTGCCAGTTCATTACCTGGAGAAAGCGTAATGCTAACATCATTGCTAGTGATGCATCTGGTGCTGAGCACAAAGGCGTAAGTTGATCTACCAACCGCCACTATATGACGATAACAAAATTGAGATCAAAAACTAACTAAATCTTCAAATTATAGAATGATGATATTGCAACTGCCATCTTAAAGAAGAAGAAGAAGCCAAACTCGTTGATGTGAGTATATCCAGGAAACACCCCACCTCGACCGAAGATCTGAACTGACAGGCGGTGGCAACAGGGTTACTGATGCTATCAACGATGATAACTCTGTTATCGCTCTCTCCAACAATACCATGGAAACTTTACAATTGTTCCGTGGAGATACCGTTTTAGTTAAGGGAAAGAAGCGCAAGGACACTGTTCTCATTGTTCTTGCTGATGACGATCTCGATGATGGAAGCGCACGTATGAACCGTGTTGTTAGACATAACCTCCGTGTTAAGCACGGTGACGTTATTACCGTTCACCCATGTCCGGATATCAAATATGTGAGTATTCAAGAGTCTGCGGACATCTCCAAGACGCTAATATGTCATTAGGCCAAGCGCATTGCAGTCCTCCCTATCGCCGATACTGTCGAAGGTCTCACCGGATCTTTATTCGATGTTTTCTTAGCACCATATTTCCGCGAAGCCTACCGACCTGTACGACAAGGCGATCTTTTCACAGTTCGTGGTGGTATGAGACAAGTTGAATTCAAGGTTGTTGAGGTCGACCCTCCCGAGTACGGAATCGTAGCCCAAGATACAGTCATCCACTGCGAAGGAGAGCCCATCCAGCGTGAAGATGAAGAAGGCAATTTGAACGAGGTCGGATACGACGACATTGGAGGATGCAGAAAGCAAATGGCACAGATCAGAGAGATGGTTGAGTTGCCATTAAGACATCCCCAATTATTTAAATCTATCGGTATCAAGCCTCCTCGTGGTGTTCTCATGTTTGGTCCACCAGGTACTGGTAAGACACTCATGGCCAGAGCCGTTGCAAACGAGACCGGTGCTTTCTTTTTCTTAATCAACGGACCCGAGATTATGTCAAAGATGGCCGGTGAATCCGAATCGAATTTGCGCAAGGCTTTCGAAGAGGCTGAGAAGAATTCGCCTGCGATCATCTTCATCGACGAGATCGACTCTATTGCACCAAAGCGTGACAAGACCAACGGAGAAGTCGAACGTCGTGTTGTCTCGCAATTGCTTACCCTTATGGACGGCATGAAGGCTAGATCCAATGTTGTTGTCATGGCCGCCACAAACAGACCTAACTCCATCGACCCTGCTCTCCGTCGTTTCGGTCGTTTCGATCGTGAAGTCGATATTGGTATCCCTGATCCAACTGGTCGTCTTGAAATCCTTCAAATCCACACTAAGAACATGAAGTTGGGTGAGGATGTTGATCTCGAGCAAATCGCCTCCGAGACTCACGGATACGTTGGTTCTGATGTTGCCTCCCTCTGCTCCGAAGCTGCCATGCAGCAAATTCGTGAAAAGATGGATCTTATCGATCTTGATGAAGATACTATCGACGCCGAGGTTCTCGACTCCCTTGGTGTTACCATGGACAACTTCCGCTTCGCCCTCGGTGTTTCCAACCCATCTGCTCTTCGCGAAGTTGCAGTTGTCGAAGTTCCAAACGTTCGCTGGGACGACATCGGAGGATTGGAAGAGGTCAAGCGCGAGCTCATCGAGAGCGTGCAATACCCCGTCGATCACCCAGAAAAGTTCCTCAAGTTCGGTCTTTCTCCATCTCGTGGTGTCTTGTTTTACGGTCCTCCTGGTACTGGTAAGACCTTGCTCGCCAAGGCTGTTGCTAACGAGTGTTCTGCAAACTTCATTTCCGTTAAGGGTCCAGAATTGCTGAGTATGTGGTTCGGTGAATCTGAGTCCAACATCAGAGATATTTTCGACAAGGCTCGTGCTGCCGCACCTTGTGTTGTTTTCCTCGATGAGCTTGATTCTATTGCCAAGTCTCGTGGTGGATCTAACGGTGATGCTGGTGGAGCTTCTGACCGTGTTGTCAACCAACTTTTGACTGGTAAGTTTATTCCTTGTTTCTAGCATGCGTGAGTGGAAGCTAATTTTTACATAGAAATGGATGGTATGACCTCGAAAAAGAACGTTTTCGTCATTGGTGCTACCAACAGACCTGAGCAACTTGACAACGCTCTTTGCAGACCTGGTCGTCTTGACACCCTTGTCTACGTTCCACTTCCTAACGAGAGCTCTCGTGCTGGTATCTTGAAGGCACAACTCAGAAAGACCCCAGTCGCCGACGATGTTGATCTCAGCTACATTGCATCCCGTACTCACGGTTTCTCTGGTGCTGATTTGGGATTCATCACCCAACGTGCCGTCAAGCTCGCCATCAAGGAATCTATTTCTTTGGACATCGAACGTCGCAAGGCTCTCGAGGCCGCTGGTGGTGACGTTGACATGGAGGATGAGGATGTTGAGGACCCAGTTCCAAAATTGACTAAGGCGCATTTCGAAGAGGCCATGTCACAAGCCAGAAGATCCGTTTCTGATGTCGAAATCCGCCGATATGAGGCATTCGCTCAGAGCATGAAGAGCTCTGGGCCTGGAGCTTTCTTCAAGTTCCCAGAAGCTGGTGAGGCTGCCGAGGCTAACGGAGGAGGTGCTGGTGGATTTGGTGATGCTGGAAACGACGACAGTCTTTACGACTAAATCTGTACTCTTAATATCATATTTTTACGTCATCTTACAGCATAAATGAGGAGCTAACGATTGGGAGGGCATTTGACCCGGTGGACTTTGACGTAGAGTCTAGAGATTTCTGCAGATCAAAGTTGCATTCATGACCCCTAAAAGTCATTGTATGAAGGGTTGGGAGAGGTATGGAGAGTTTCATTCATGGCGATATGTGGCCAAGGTGGTGCCCTTAGCATAGAATACCTTATAAAAACATATTTCATTACAATTCGATCTTGCATGCATATTGAGTGGAGTGATATTGATTGGAGATATAATGATCTGTAAAGACCCGTTGAAATAGATTTTTAATCCTAAAAACGCCGCTTGAGTATGCATGGCGCCTCGAATATTCTACATGATATTCGTCATGGTTCTCTTGTGCAATAAATTTAACGTATACGCCCAGAACATTCCCGGCCTTGTAATCCCTCATCATTCCCAAATCCCAAATATTCTTTTAAACTCCTAGTATACTCCATAGGTAGTTCACTCATTACATAGAATGAAGAAAATACTGCATACCGGCCACTCATGCACCAGTTCCCTTTCTCTGCTTTGACTGCGTCGTGCTATCTTGATAAATGATGTAAATAATAGAAGCGGATCTGGGAGAGTTTTTTGGAAGTCGATTCCGATTTGTCCATACATCCATATCGAATCCCCCGATTCCTTTCTTTAGATGCCTGTATCTATATCGAGAGGGCTCCAGAACAAACACAGGTTGCTACCAGTGATATATACCCTTCCCCGTTTCTTCGTTTCCTCTTTACGCCAATGCTGATTCCTCATCACCCCTTCTTATCCAACTCTCAGAAATGCAACAACCACTCGGATGTTTGAGGGTTCACTCCACAACCTCACAAACAGCTTCTAATGACTCCCTCGTAATCCTCACTCCTTCATCCACGACGCTTTTCGGCAACGCGAGACTTTGCCCCCTTTCGCCTCTTCCTTTGGGCGCGGCGTCTTTTTCTTTTGCTTCCTTTTCCTTTTTGTCTGAAGATCCGTTGGTGGAGGGGTGAGGGGATGAATTGGAGGGGTCGGATGAAGATAGTGCAATTGTATCGGCGCGGATGTCTTCAAGTACTTTGGCGATGAGTAGTGGGAACGTAGTGTAGTGTCCCGAACGCAGGAGGGAAAGCGCGTGGTTTTGAATTAGGGTTGGCCAGTTTGTGGGGGAGGAGTGGAGGGAGTGGAGGAGGGTTTCTTGAATTCTGTGGGGGGAGAGGTTAGCTGGATTTTGAATTGGAAGGAGAGAGGGCGCGGACAAAGACGTACTTAGCAACATGGCCATCTTTTAATAATATAGAATTTATCTGCGAGCGCAAATCCGCGTCTTGGGTTGTGGGTGTGTAGTTCGCGGCGCTTTTTGATACGCGCACAGGTGTGGTGGGTTCGGAGGCCATTTTGATGGGGTGTGTAGATTTGGGGTTGGATGGATGGGGTTTTGGTATGGTGTGCTTGATTGAATATATTGGGACGGGGCGATAGGAGGAGGAGTTGAGTGGGGGATTTGGGATGAGACGGGATGGATAGACAATTGATAGTGTACAATGCGAGAGGAAACTTGGGGCATGAGATTTCCTAGGAAGAATAGAGATTTGGGTTGATATTGGACTTGGGCTGTGGAATTGATGGCTTGTTGTGTGTTTTTTGAGACCTCGTCGGCGAGGCTGGATTGAAGGCTGAATTTATTTATGTGTTGGACCAATGAGGTAATCGGATGGGGATTTGGTGATAAAGTGGGGTAGGATTAGTATTTTGATAGAGACAGTTCGGTAAACGAGGGGTTTGCTTCTATCATCAGATTCATACATTATTTTCCTCTTATAATATATCTTACGTGGTTAGTCTATCTCCATATACATTGGAATTATATACACCTCGGTATTCTAATCATGGCTTCACTTCGATTATCTACCTTCAATACGGACATTTTTATATATATCTATAGCTGAATCAGCCTCAGCTCCAGGAATACATTCTGCATCGGCGAAGCGTATTATTATTATCACACCTATGAACCATTTCATTATCCAATGAACCGTCATACTATTTCCACACTCCACCATAAAGTGAAACCATGAAACCCCTTCACAAGTTTCATAGGTAAACAACCACACGAAGTCTATTCCATTCCCATCTCTTTTTCAAACGCTTTGCTTCAATCCATTGGGTGAGAAGATGACTGTGCCTAGACAATGAAAATGGGCGCTTCATCCAATGCCATGTTGAGCACAGGTCGATTCTTATGAGCCACGGTATTGCTGTATTGAAAGACTGGACTCAGATACTCGCAAGGTCGAATCAATGATGTAGGTTCCCTTCCTCTACCTATTACCTCTCTCCGGAGTGTTTGATCAGCTTGCTTCTTTGATCGTCTTCTTCCCGTTAATTGTATTACTCCTTCTTATACTTTGACCTCCCACATATTCATTCCTCTGTTTCCCCACCCTTTGTTTCTTCTCTGGAGATATCTTTCTTATTGCATCTCTTTTCTCTTTTTGCGTTTCTGTCATGATGCACCAGCATCTATTATGCACAGTGCCGTTGCCACTTCATATTGAATGAACAGCTCATCGCTATAACGGAACGGGGACCAAACACTAGAACATCGGAATTTCATTTTCCCCCTTTCCTCTCAAGAACTGCGTCATCAGTCGGCAGGTACCGTTCTGGCACGAACTATCTTTTCAAATAGCATCATTGTTTTTTCAAAATAGTGAAATTCAACGCTCGGTTGGGTTGTATCAGACAAACCACGTCGCGAAAGCAAGGCTATTGTGGTGTGTTGAGTCGGATCATCCAGTACAAACGAAGGATCTCAAACGTGACGAGTTTCAACACCTGGCAAACTCTTTCAACTCCCGTCGACACGAACTGTCTGGAGAGCATTATTCTGATCATTATTACGATCTAATTATTGGATACATCATTCAACTCAAGAATTTCCCCAGGACGGTGATCCAGGTTTGGGCTACATTCGAACGTTTTTTCTTTGCAAGACCTGAAGGTCTGCAGAGATACTACCAATCAATTCAAGATGCGGCGGCATCTTTTAACGACTATTACTTTCTCATTTTGTATTCTACGTCTTACAAACGCCTTGTCACTTGCAAACTTCCAATTGGTCTCACCGACTGCAGTCTCATTGGGTTGTTTTGTGGAATATAATACTTTGATCCAAGACTGCAAATTATCAGACTTCAACGACGGGTGTTCCCTGGACTGCCAATCAGGCTTAACATCAAAAGCTACATGTGTTAATAATGCTTGTTCGAATGATAATGTAGCTCCCAATACATTATTAGGAATCGTCAAAGGTGGTGGGATCATTGCAGCTTTATGTCCGAATATCAAAAGCTCTACTACGAAATCAACATCAACCTCGACTACAGCTGAGACGAAAACCTCGACGACGAGTGTGAGTACTACATCGTCGAGTTCGCAATCGACTTCAACTTCAACTTCAATTCCAACTCCGACTTCGACTTCATCCCAAAGCTCTAGTTTTACTGCTGCTACAACGACATTTTCTACGCTTCCTACGATGACCCAGTCTACGATTGGGCAGACCTCGAGCTCCTCTCAAATTTCGAATACTCAGACATCATCATCATCATCATCATCATCATCATCATCATCATCATCATCATCATCATCATCATCATCATCATCATCATCATCATCATCATCATCATCATCGTCTACTTCATCAAAACCAACCACATCTAATTCCTCAGAATCAACATCTACTTCTTCCAATACGAATACGAATACAGACACAAGCACTAGCACAACACTGACCACTACACAAACACAACCCTCTACTTCCACATCTACAAAAACTACAGCAACAACATCTAAGTCAACAACGACAACAACCGCAGCATCGAATAATGGGAATGGGAATGGGATTAGCGGGGGTGGAAGCCCGTTTGATATCGATGCAAACAGTGGTAGTTTGCCAACCGATTTCGGTAAACTATCACAAAGATGGATAGCGGGCGTGGTGTTGATTCATGGAGGATTGGGTGTATGGTTTCTTGTTTGAGATGTGAGGGATTAGAGTTTATGGGGGCTGTGGGATTGGGTTGGAAATGATAATGTTTATAAGAATTCTTCGGGTTTTCGTTTTGTTTGTGGTTTGTACGATTAGAGCGGCTGCGGGATCCGACAGATCAGATCATCATGTTATTTGGATTGAGAAATGATTTGGAAAGAGATGGAGAAGGGCATGGCATGGCATAGCACAGCATGGCTAGCGCGATATGTATATTATTCTATGACTTTACGAACAAATTTGAGAGATGATGTAGGGAGATGGGTATGAGATATGGAGGACGGGATGAATGAGGACATGGTTGAGTTTTGGGAACGTGAATTTTGATGCTGGATAAAACGGGATGAGATGGCATGGAATGGTTTCATACAACAGAAACAGGGATGGGTTATGAAATGCAAGTAAGCAATAAATCAATCAAATGCAGAATTTGTGTCTTTACATCAAAGTTCCCATAGCGAGTACAAGATCTCGTCAACACTCTGTGTTCTGAATACGCATACTGTGAGCCAGCGCGCGGGTGCTGCATTTATGCATACATACATTCATTCATTCATTTCAGTCCTACTGATGTATCTTCCCTGTTCAGAAAAACCCATGTTTCTCTTCGAATACTCGCATCATAAACTGGAAAATTGTAGCTACACGAATTCTCCAAGCTGGGAATACTGATACATATGTATGTATGTGTATGTGCATACTTATATAGATATAGATATGGATATACACCTCATAAATCACAACTCAAAGCCTACTATCCGAAAGTCTCTGATAGTTCTTGAAGATAGTTTGATATCGTATGTATATGTATATAAATATAAATATAATAGAATACAGATTCGTTATTTAGTATTCAGCGAACAAAAGAGGTTGGCGGGTAATAACTTGGGAATGCAGACTGGACTGGACTGGGGTTAGGGGAAACGGGGTGAGGATGAGATGAAAATAAGATAAGATAAGTGAAGATGAGAGTGAGAATGAAAGGATTATGAGTATGAGTATGGGTAGAGAATAGAATAGATTAGAGCGAGTGTAATAATATATGTAGATGTACAAGAGACCACGCACAATCTATGGAGGAAGGTTGGAGTGGGTAGAGGGCCTGGAAGTTTTGTGCGTGGAGGGTAAGGAAGGGATGAGAGAGAGAGAAGGATCCGGATAGGAATTTGGAGAATCCTGGTTAGTTGTTGAGTGATTTGATTCAAAGTTTGAAGTTCAATGTTCAGTGTGGGTGAGGAGGGAAAGGAGAGAAGAAGAGGAAATTTTGAATGCATGGTACGGCACAATATGTTATGAGTAGGAGTGTCATAATTTCGTGTATTCATGCTACCTATCCCTTTGCCTATCCCCATCCATCCATCCATCCAGCCATCTATAAACATTCTCGGGAAGATGAAAATATCGATATATATCAATCGACATTTGAGCATCCATCCATCCATCCATCCATTCATGGATACATACATGCAAACATGTATAATCCCCTTGCAAAATTCAAGAAATGCCAAATGCAACCGCAAGTATGAAAATAATGCAGCAGGTACCTAATACTTAGTCTAGGCATATCTCCCAATAAGAGTAATCTGAACCTTTTTCCTCAACTCCATAAATATGCCAGGTATCTCAACAACAACAACAAAGTAAGGTACAATTTTATCTCTTCACCCCTTCACTCCAATCCCCATAATTCCTTACTCTTAGAAGAAAACACTCCTCTTCTTCTGCATCTTCGTCATCTTCTTCCCACCAAAAAATCCGCTCGAGCTAGCCGTCCCACTCCCCGGCGCTTGCAAATAAGGACTATTGATCTGCGCTTGCGGTCTCGCCTGCGACGACGAAGAAGGACCACCCGCCCCAGCAAATCCGCTCCCCGTCCCCATCGCATAACCCGCCGGACCGGGCCCGGTACTCATGGGTCTCGCCGGCATGGGCGCACTATAAGGCGCACTATACGGCGTTGTAATCGTCGGTCTCTGCGGCATCTGCTGCGGCGCAAACTGAACTCTCTGTCCTGGATTCGCATTCATATTCTCATTCACAGGCATAACACCATACTGTTTCCTTAACCGCTCCGTCTCCTTTGCAATCTCGGCGTCTCTTCTCCGCTGTTCCTTTTCTTCCTGCTCCAACATCTTCTTGATCCGCTTCTCTTCTAATAATTCCATGTGCTGACGTTCCCGCTCCTCAGCTTCCACCAACGCTTTTAAACGCGCGGTTTCGGCGTCAATTTCCCACTGCGTGCGTGCATTTACTGTCGGTGGCGGAGAGGGACCCGTCGGAAGCGGATGCGAAGTACGACGGGGCGGAAGACCGGGCATGATTCCCCCAGACATCACGGGAGATATAGAAGGCCTACCATTTTCTCGAATGACGGGACCGCTATTGTTGCGTTTGCGCAACGCCCCCGGAGTTTCATTGGGTGAACTGATATTAAACATTTCGCGACTGGCATTGAAGAATATATCCTTAATCACTGCAGCCGATAATAAAAGTACGACTTCCAGACCTTTGAAATCTTCAACATCAACTCGATGCATGTTGGGTTGGTAAATGGTAAGATCTTTACCCCCTTTAAACATAGCCACTGGAATATCCGGCTCCTTGTTTCTTTTCCCTTCTGCCGTCTTTCCGGATAGGAAGCAGGACAAATCTTTCGAGAACTTCCCATCTTTCTTCCACTTAAACGCCACTTTCGGTGTGAAATCCGAGAATGCAGGATCACTCTGACTGCGATCGAGCGCTGACGCCGACGGGGCCCGGAAACTAATTTGAGGCATCTCAAATTCCCAATACGCCGAACTATTCCACGAACCCGAGATTTGCTTCACCAACACTTGCTGATCTGGATTGTATAATTGGATTGTGAAACTATTCGGCACGATTGGGACGGGCGGGGGAGGAATGCCATTCTGGGCTCGAACTTCGGCCTGGGAGAGAGTGGGTTGCGTCCATTCTGGCTGGACTAATACTTCAGCATAGAGGACGTCGGGATTGCAGGAATCGTAGAGAGCGACGGCGTAACAATTTTTCGAGGCTGGCAGATTGGTATCGGGTCTGCGGAAGAGGTATTCGGGTTGAAGGTCGGAGCCATCCTGACGGAGGAAGATGGGAGTGGAGAGAGGGGTATCGGTCGACGCTTTGAAGAAGAAGGTGGGGAGGTTTTCGTCAAGCATGATGATTTGATGCAGGCAGTCGAGGGGCAGCTACAGGATATGGTTGGTCTTTCAAGGCTTTTCAAATCGTTCAGAAGCAAATAGATAAAGGAACGATGTGTTGGATGTTTCTTGATTGTCACTCTGAAACACAGAACACAATTAGTAGTAGTAGCTAGGTAGATATGATAAATCTCGGCACCGCTGCGAATACGATTCGTACAAAGTTAATAGGTGTATGATATATACCTGTAACCTTAACGTATCAACCCAAATGCGCAAGGTGGATATCCATTACCCTTTTCACAGGGCTATGAAGTATCTGAAGTGCCCGTAGATGAGGCTGAGCCTTCCCGCTCACATGCATCCACCACGCGTAAACCATTGTACAGAGTCAAGAAGATGTCTTGGAATATTCCTTGATGAATCAGATCTGCAAACAATTCTATACTTTATAAACGTTTATTGGTTCGATTAGGTTTCGGCATCGTTATCCCCATAGTCAATTCTATTTTTACATCGTTGATCCTTTAGTATTGTAATCGATTTGCTTATATAAGCTTCTTTCTACATATCATCGGTATCGTCACCAGGAAGTTAAGCATGCTCATTCGCTGCTTCGAAGTTTGTTCCTCTATGAATTTATACTCAGGTTGCGTCCTCTTCTACCCGAGGGAGGCTTTGCATACGAATTAGTATCTAGCAGATTCCGGTTGTAATCTAGATAGGCTTTCTCCACGTATTATACGAGAGGATTTGCAAATGTTTATCAAATGCTTCAAAGCTGGCTACCTGCTAGACGGGATACCTAGATCAATTAGTCGAATATTAATCCCTACTAATCAACATGAAACCTAACCAAAAACTCAAGTCAAGACAGAAAAGTCGTCAATCGATAAATCTCTGTAAATCTCTGTAGATTTCTGCCGGATATCCAATAAATCTTCTTCATTTGATTTAAATGTCTTCCTATTTCCTAGTGTGCCTTTTCCACGCAAGCCAACCCAGCCCCTCTCAGCTTTACCCGAGGAAAATATCCCAAGGTTGACTTGTCCCTGTCGGCTACCCGTGTGTCCCAACCACGAGTTTCATCCAAGAACTCCCCTCCACAGTCAAATTCGACCAAAAACCGAGTATTCAACCATTCATCTCATGATACGCCTCATATAAAAATATGACCAAAAGATACCAAAACAGCTAGCTAGCCGAAAAAATAATAAACTGGATTGACCCTGAATTGTAATCTCCAAAATTCCGTTTCCAATACACATACACTATCCCAAAAATTGGTGATATCGCCTACTTTCGCTATGCAGTGTAAACCAGTGCAGCAACTCCAAGAAATAATGACCAATCCAAATGTTCGATTAGATTATATAATGCCGCCGGGAGGGTCGTATATGGAATTGTTTCCACCGCGACCACCATTTCTACCGTCCAGACCTGCGCTTCCAGGGACATCTTGTATTCCAGGTTCCGTATTGGGGCTGATTTTTCTCAACATGAACATAGGCTTTTTGCCTTCCTTATCCAATTGTTTAAATAGAATCAGCGGTTTTTCTTCCATACCCAAACATCTTTCTTTATCCCCATAGACGATGTATAAAGCGTATTGTTCCCAGGGTGCGTTGATGTTGTATTTTTTTAATGCAGCAGGTAAAACCTTGTAGCATGGGTCTTCCATACTGACGCGGAATGATTTGAATATTTCGACAGAGGCACCACCCCCACCAGAAGGTGGTTCAAGGGCCGGTGTTTGGGCTCGCCGTGAGGGTGCTGGTTTGGTACTGTCGCGAGAGTATGTCGATGGAGGATATTGGTCGTTATCGTTCTGAGGGAAATTGCTGCGGCCTGGTGTAGGTTGTTGATCTGATCGGTACGAGCGTGAGGCTAAAGTGGATCCACTCATATGGGAAGGAGGGGAAGTCGGAGAGGGTTGATTGGGCGAAGGTTGTCCAGGTGACAGTGATTGAGAGCCGTTATTCATAGCATTGAGGTGTGAGGAAGAGAGGACTGCCCGCTCGGCAGCATTTGCAGGATCAAGAGCGTGTTCCATCATAGATCTATCCTGGCTAGATTGTAAATTGAATGTAGGAGAAGCATTTTTTGGCGTTGATTCCAGAAACAGCTTTTTCGTTGAGAACTTTCGCGAGAGTCCGCCTGATTGACTTGAAGAGGGTGTAGGTGCAGGAGGTGATATCGTATTGTTATTATCGTAAGAATATAGGCTTTGATTGTTGGTCCCAGGAGGATGGTATGGCAAAGGCTGCCCTTCCTTATGCATTCGAAATACCGGTAGGAGATCTTCCCTCAATCGAGTGTACTCAGAAGTCAGCCTTCGTAATTCCATCTCTGCAACGCTCATTCGTTCGTCTCGTAATCGTAATTGTTCGACAAGGTTTTTAATGTCTTTGAGTGTCGCGGTAGCATATTGGGCCTCGGCGTCCGCTGCTGCAAATGAAGTCAGTTTGATTATTCGGCACCATCCAATCGACCAACTCACAAAGTGGCACATAGTGGTCACTCTCAATAGGCACGTCTTGCTTAATCTTGATGTCGTAAACGTTCTTGAGAATTGTGAGTCGATGCCCCACACTTGCTATTCCCATCTCCTTGAGGTCGGTATGCTGTAATGCTACCAATGCTTCCCCAACAATTTCGTTTTCTATCCCACTCAATTAGATAAGAGGTTAAGGACAACCAATATTGCTTTAAAGCATACCTAAGAATTGATCGCCATACTGCCGCAGTCCCAGACTACCTACAAAATCGGCGCAATCATCTGCAGTCCATTCCGTTATGATAGACTCTGGTAAAGAATCCATGATGCCATGATTACCATACGTAGTTGGGGTGTGTTCGCTGGAAGAAAGGCCATCGGAATCCTCTGAATCGTTGGCGAGGACTGGGGAACTGTTATGCACACTTCTCTCGTACTCGTCGTCCGCATCAGATTCCGGATATGCTGTGCCGGACTCGAATGCCATAATTATATTTCAAAAGAAAAATGGTAATGTTGCGCAAAATAGAGCAAAAGGCTTTGTCGCGGCGATTCAAACCAAGTTCCTTACAAGAATCGTAGGTGCAGATGAAGTCGCTTAACCTTCTATGAAGACGAGGTCAAAGCTCTGCGCTTAAATCTATGGAGTGGGAGTAAGAAGCCGCTGGTGGGTTCGCCGGTAAGTTAGCTTTCTTCTTTTCTTTTTATGGCTGATGAGCTGGGTCGCAGAGTGAGCACAAAGTAATAATTGATGGTTCAGAGTGAAGCGGGCGGGATAACGGGTTTCTCGGTGGATGAAATGAGTGAATGCCTCAAATGGTAGTAGTGTCGTCCTATGAGGGTGAAAATGTATCAGGATTAGATGACCATTAATGGCAGTATTCAAAACAACTTTGGTATCACACATCCGAAGCCAGAAAAGCTGACATCAGATTGTCTAGAGAAGTAGGGAGGAATTTATGATCACTGAGAGTGTATGGAAACGAGCATTACCATATCACGGCTGTAATTTGCCTTACCAGTATGGTAAGTTGGTAACATTACCTCCGTGTATAAGTTTACGTCCCATATAACAATAAATGAACGACCTTCTAATTTGCTCTCTAATTCCCACCCAACCAGCCACAGACAGAACCATACAATATCCAATGAAATCATGACATTACTTCAGACTAGGATCTATACATTAACCAACGAATAGTACTTCGGAGAAATTAATTGACCATTCCCTAATTTGGAATCGCGAGCGTTAAAATATACTTAGGGGAACGGCCCCATAAATATCCTCAGATTATTTAAAGTAAATAGGTGTTGATCTTCATCATCATCTCATTAGGACTAAGAAATAGCTGCAATTCGCGCGATAGTCGCCGTTTGTTTGCTTATTTGACGACTACATTGTGTAAACAATGTCACTTCATGCACATCACCTACAGAAAAACAATGCATGTAATGCAGTACTTGAATCAAGATCAATTCAGGTTTTACCGAAGTGGAGGAAAAGATTCATACTATATCATGTGTATGTGTGCACCTTGAGTGTAGCCGCGAATAAAAGTAATCTTTTGATATATAGACTCATCAAGAGCATTAAAAAAGTACAGAAAAAAAAAGCCCAACCAAAAAATAACAAGCCGACAATGCAAGAAGGACTATGTACAAGGTGTCCTTGCCAATGCTGAATGAACAAATCTTTCAAAGATCCAATGTTGTGGTATAAGGTATCCCCTCCCCCATTGCCAAATCAACCCTCCTTTTCCCCAGTAGCGCCAGAATTTGTGCCCAAACCAGTCCAGCCTCATCATAAATTCATTGATTCATGTAAGATATACAATTTTGTTTAGCGTTCATCTTGAAGATTGCGTCCTCATTTTGCGAGCTAACCAATCGCCAAGCATTCCATCCAAGCGCTATAATATAGTCAGTATAGTTTTATGTTGTTTTCACGTTCATCGAAACTCACGTTGGTTATATCCGCCAATTTGGCATTCTCTTCTTTGAAAAGATTACCCACAACTGGATGATCTGACCCTGCTGGTACTACTCCTGATTTGTCGTAGACAACAACTAATAAATCTCTAATATCTGTGTCATCATCAAAGAATGTCCTAAGATGCGAGTCACTCCATGTAGGTGTCGATGCTGAAGTGGTAGAGCTTCCAGTGCCCTTCTTAACATCGTCATTGTCAATAAGTTCAGGTGAAGGTGAAGGGGATGACGACATCGGTGATGGTGGCTCTTCTTGACTAGACGTATCTACCATAAGTGCTGGTGGATGAGAATTCGTCGGTGTAATCGGAGAAACTTGTACTGGAGATTCCGACAATCTCTCTTCCATGGCATTACGATTTTCCGTTGCAGGAGTTGCGATATAACTATCGGGGAAGCTACCTGGAATAGGTCGTTGAGCCTGTTCACTTGAAGAACGAATAGGCTCTTCAGCTTCGGACTCTTCAGAAGTTGAATCAAAATCATCCAACTCGACTCGAGCCTTTGCCTTCTTGGCTTTGACAGGCTTGGGCTCTGAACTGCTAGAAATTGCGGAATGTAAGATCTTGGATATTGGCCCGGGTGACTTAGGGCTCGGAACAGTGGGTGAACTGGGAGCTTCCTGTTGATTTGGGGCCGCTGTTTGTGGCTCAGGCTGCACCAAACGCAATGAAAGCCCTGGCCCCGAATCGGCTGCGATTGCACGCTCGGAAATTGATGCAAGTTGTGGTTCTATCGACCTTGCTTCCCTCGCGCTTTGCTTTCGACTTGGTGACGTTTCCGGTCGCGGTTGCTTTTGTAATTTGCCAGGATGCTTTTGCGCTTCTGGGCTCGATTCTTCGACAGATGCGAGATCTGAGTCCTTGCTAGGAGATGGAGATGATGCACGATTCTCGCTTGAATGTTTGCTTGATGACATCGAATCTTCGAGGTCATCATCTTGGTGCTTCGATTTCTTGTCTTTTCGTTTGAAAAGCCCGCTAAGCATCCCTGGCTTCTTCTCCTTATCTTTCTTCTCCTTCTTGTCCTTTTTATCCTTAAGTTTGTCTGACACAAGATCTTTCTCAAGTCGATCGAGGCTCGGCCTCTGCTTCAATTTCTCCGAATCATTAGATGTCCGAGTCGAAGTGCTAGAATCATCGCGAAGCAGATTTGGTGTAAGTGTAATTTTTCGAGTTTCCACTGTATCATCTTTGAAGAATGAATCCGTGTTGCGAAGAGTACCGTTCCTAGATTTGCTACCTTCCGACTTTCCTTCAAGAATCTCGTCACTGCTCCTAGTCGTGTCCAAGCTGGATTTAACGGTTGAATTATCACGTTCTGGACTTTCAGATTTGACTTCGCGAAGTTCATTGCGCGGTTTGAGTGGCTCTATTGCAACAATCTCATCATCCTCAACGGTCTGCTCTTGCTGTTCAGTCTGTTGTTCTTGCTGCCCGTAAAATCCTCCATCGCCGTCATCTTCGTCAGAAGAGTAGTCAACATCTGAAGCCTCAACATATGTCGGCGCAGTAAATGTCACAGTTTTGGCATTCCTTCGTCGGATTGCTTTCTTCAGGGGGTTCTTTGACTTCTCTGCTTGATCTCCCAACATGGCCGACGTAAGCTGTTCACGTTAGTAATGTTTCGAAACTCCCCCCAAAAATGTCACGTACATCAATATTCCTATGCTTATTAAGTCGTGCTAATCTTTCAGTAGGCGTTTCGATATGTTCTGCTGGTAAGTAACCTGTAATTGGCACGAGTGTTAGTGATCATGGCGAAGATAACTGGTGATATGACTTGCCTATACTACTGTCCTTGACTACCCTAACGAGCCACCAATAGCTGTTACTGTCGTCCAGTAAAACCATTGTGTCTCCTTTAGTTGCATTGGCTTGGCCTTCTACTGTAGCGACGAAAGTATGGAGCGCGTAGACGAATTCGAAATCGATGTCCTCTGATTCTTGTAAGCACTCTCCACCCCATCCGGAATCAACAAATCTAGAGTCAGCAGCATATGGAATATCATCATCATCATCATCATCATCCTCGTAATATAGGTCCTCCTCGTCTTCGGAACTTTCGTATGGTATGGTCATTGCCTCGTCGTAATCGTAAGGATCGAAAGCCGAAGTCTGCGCAATATCCTGGTCCAAATCATGCATTGCTGTGAGCTGGTCTTGAAAATACTCCTCATTATAGTCCTGCTCGTTTCTCTCCACGTAAGGTCCATACTTCTCCGGAGTCACTGGTGTAAGCGCATCGATGTCGTAATTGGACGTAGTACTATTCGCCCGGTCAAGATACTCACCTAGATGATGATGATGATATTGAATTTCGTGAGCCACCTGGCTCAGGTCCATATCTAGCTGGTCGCTCATAGGTTGTAATGGAAAGAAAGTGGGTGGCTCCAGGAAAGGGGATGAACTTTCGCCGCACGCTTGTGAAAACGACAAGGAGCTTGCCCGGGAAAGGGAGTCGGACCTAGAAGGCCAAATTTTTGGAAGAGAATACCCACCATCGTCGATTGACGGGGAGCTTGAGATCTTGTCCATCATGTCATCATCCATGCTATCGTCTCCCTCAGCATCCGCCATATCTCCATCCTCGCCCCCAGAACCTGACAACCCTCCATTTTGAGCAATTGCCAAATCGTCTTGTTGATGATTTCCATTCATTGCAGCGTTCCCTCCAGCAGCCGAATCGTCACTCGTGTAATCTTGTATCATTTGCCCTTCGCCATTGGCCCATTCTCTTGAAACTCTTGGACTTCTATGTTGTTCGTCTGCGACTTCTGCTGCGACTTCCCGCAATGCTTCGGCCTGGTGTGGAGCAGGCGGCCCAGTGCCTAACGGTGCTGTGTTTGCATGTTTCTTCGAATGGTCTTGCGCCGATGGGGCATCTTGGTCTTGAAGGTCAATTGAATCTAGAAAATCAGTCATCATTGAAGGGAACGGGTGAGACATTTGAGAACGAACCAGCGCGAATGATTTCCGGGCGCGTCATGTCTCTATTGTATCGTGAGGTCGCAGACCTCTAAAGAATAATAAATCTGGTTCTGACGGTGGTTTATTTAATTACCACTTTATGAGATGATTTGTGACAGGCACGAGCACAGAGATTACGATTAACATCCAAATGAAACCCAGCAAAATTGCTCTGCCACATCTAAGTGTTTAAAAGGAAGTGAATGTGGCAAAAGAGCACCGAATAAGTGTTATAGAGTGCAAAAGAATCGAGCGATTCAAGCAGTTCTCGTGTTGTTTCCAGGGTTGCTTTTTTCTCAAGGTTAGGAGACCAAATAATGAAATGACAATCGAGCCTTAGCACGGGGGCTGATTAGGAGGATCGACTTTTAAACCAGTCGGTCATTAAGAAGAGACTTTTTTCTAATGGGAATCAAGAAAGGAGTGTTTCGAAAAGTAAAGGCGGTTTGAAAGTTTAAAAGAAATCGATGGATCGATCAGAAAGTAATGAATTGAAACTATTATGACCAGAATTGATATAATGTGTAGTGAGTGAGTAGGTCGACAGGTATCTAGGTATCTAGGTACTGAATGAAGTGCAGTGTACAGTAAATCAATCTAGAACAACTTTCTGATGAAATTCTTGAAAGAGGTTGATTATTTACCAAAATGTTTCGGTTTGATTACCATCCATTTTTACTACAATACTACAATTATTACCAGTTGTAATAAGTTATGCACGACCGAGCTAGGTACGAAATGCCAAGACTCTCCCTCCTGAGAATTGTACCGAAGATAGGTGGAGAGGTATATATAGAGACAAAGTATAGCTAATTGGAAGATTCGCGTGTGGAAGATTGATGAGAGTGAAGGAGTGCCGGAGTTACCTAGGTACCCAATGAGAGGGGAGAGGGGAGAGGGGAGAGGGGAGAGAGAGAAGACGTATTGTCAAGGGACGGGTCGATTTCACCTCACAGCACATCTCTCGTAGGATCACCTCGCTGTATCAAATTCCCATCTAATTCCTGCTAACCCCGCGTTTAATAGCCATGATTGTATGCATTAGATACCTAGTGGCTCCTAACGTATGCCATGATTCCATCAGATCATCATATGTGATATATTCCATTGTTTGCGGGTACCGGTGATTGTAGATCTGGGCGGTATGGCTTTAGGAATTCGCAATTCGTTTCATAGAGGACCCTAGGTCGGTAGGTATTAATAAAGGGGATAATGCTCCCATTCCGACAAATCTTACATATTTCGGACGCAAGGAACCAAAAGGTTTATGTACCTGTGCAAGTATCCATTATTCATTTCTCCTAGCCTCCCGACTCCATCAATTTTACATAAGCCGCCGTGAATGAAATCATGAGCCACACAAGATGATCTTATCTGTGGCTGAGGAACGTTTGATTTTCTATTGATTCGGAAGCGGGTAAATCACCGTGGTGGTGCCTAGGTACGTACCTAGCTGGGTGAACAAATATAATCAACAATTGAAAATTGTCGGTGATCACTTCAAGCAGCGCATCAAAACGCCTCTTGTTTGGCTTCCTCCTTCACTTTCCTTCGTCTCGTCGTTCATCGAGAAGTACTGTCCACATATCCGATGAATACGACAAATACGATGAATAGCTTCCAAGATGCCTTCCTTCCCTTTAGTACCTATTACTTAGAACGAACTTTTGATCGCCTTGGTGTCATGATCACATGTACATGTGTAAATCCGCTTATCATTGAAATTTTAATGGCCCCCCTCCCCCCCGCGAAAACCCAATTACTACTCACCTATGAGCATGCTGGTAGGGTGTCACTACCATTGCTCTAGAAAACTCTGGGCTGCAGATATATGTATGTTCCTCCTGCCATCTGTAGCTACCTACATGAATATCCGGATTTATCCGCTATAGTAGGGGTGGCCATGCGATGCGGGATTGAACAGAAGTCATTCTCTGCATTCCCGTTTGAGCGATGAGATAATATCCCTGACCGGATCTCCCGTCTTCCATTTGATGGAAGGATGGATGAAAGAGGGAACGAGACCGTTTGGAGGACATGTAAGAGAGAGATTTGTGGAGTGCTGATTGATGGCTAAAAGTCTAGTAGCCCGATTGTATTATTGGATTGAGTTGGGTTTGAAGATGTACATCCCACATTTGGGGGGAAGTTACTTATTAAGCTTTTAGTCTTCACGATGGTGGATCAATCATTTCAAATCATGTAGGATGTCTGATTTCATTGCCAATGCCAACGCCAACGCATGCGAGTGAATTGTGGAAGCACCACCTTATCGTGCTACTTATCGAGATGGAATCCAACAGACTTCCCCAAATTCCCCCAAGTTTGCTGTAGTACAATACCAAGTTGTCCCCCTCGCCCCCGATAGCTTATTAGCACCAAGCTTTCTTCCAAGGCATGTCACCGTTACTTGGCGATGAGATGAAGAAAAGCCACGCTTTTCTTCACTATTCCACGCTTCTTCGGAGGAAGTCTGAGACAAAATCATTTTAACCTTTCTCTGAAGTTTAAAATCGTCAACTTCAAATTGAAGTCAAACAGTGATGCAAGGACAGAAGATCCTGAATGAGAATAGAATGCGAATGGCATGGAATGTGCACGTCAATGTGATTCCGATCATGGTACGAAACTTTTGGTTCTCTGATCCCTAATGTAACCTCATGAGGAATAAAACGAAACGACCAGAGTGAAATTTTCAAGCCCTCGCAAAGTTTTACCGGCCACGATGGAACCATACACCCCCAATTCCCGATACAACGAGCGTCTAGTTTTAGCTTGGGCTTTAGATTTGCTGGCTTACCCATGTACGATCGGATGTGCTTTGGCCCATGGCAAGTTGCAAGATGAGGGTGAAGGGTAAAGAGTAAAGGAAGAGTCGCACCGGGCAATACAAACTGCAAAACGGATACAGGGTAAAGCTAGATAATGTGAGCTGATGCGAAAGGTAAATTGGCCAACTAGTATGTACAATGTACACGGTCTTATTGACGATACTGGCTGGTACTGGTACATGACCACGTCCGAGGCTGGTACAATCTAGAGTTCTGATCAATCGTTTTCCATGATCACTCTAGCTGCGTCTGGCTGCGTCTGGCTGGCATCGTGAATCTAGTATCACGCAGGAACTTGAAAGGGGAGAGTGTTTGTACAGATACGAATTTGAGTTCGACATGGAAACATGTAACAGGTATTTCAGAGAAAGATATCTCCTACCTAGGTATGAGTTGAGGGTTTGGAAAGTATAATAAATGGAATGCGGTATTGAGTGCTGGTGAAAGGAGAGAAGGGAAGAGAAGGGAAAAGGAAGGTAAAGAAAAGCATCTTCACTCGAAGATGGATATGATCAATAGGTTGAAATATCAAATATTATAGATCCGGAGAGCAACCCTGGAAGAACTGAAATGCATACACCTCCCTAGCTGTGTGTGTCCTCGATACGATGGTGGATGTACAAATAAAGTTAAAATAATGAGCGACCCGTCAGCACCCTCACACTACTCTCTATCCAGAATTCCTTCCTTTTAATTGACTCTTATCTTATAATACCCTTCTACCCTTCTACCCTTCTTGAGACCTTCTCATACCGGTGCGGACATATATCTTACACACCATTCTATCCCATTCCATCCCTAGTTGGTCACGACTCGCCACCAGTTTAATCAAATTCAATGAAACTGATCTCGAACATTTCACGAATCCAAACTCATAAACACCCAGCAACAGCTTTTTACCCTTTCTTACCTCTCTACCCCAAAATAACTTCAATCTCTCTTTACTTTGCTCCCTTGGTCTACCGTTCACATTGATTGCACCGTTCATAAAATTCCACAGTGGCAGTGTGAATAATCTATTATTATTTTTATTATAATTGTGATTTTCATCCTCTCTTCGAACTTGTCTCTCTCCCTAACTCTTGACTGGCCCTTCTGATAATAATTACTCAAAGACGCACCGCACCGTACCGCACTATTCTATTCAACAAAGCCTGAGCGACTCGAACACTACCACCTACAGACAGACAAATACCTACCTACCTACCAGCGTTTTAAATTGATCTTCTACTCACCACTTCGCGATCAGCACAACGCAACGCAATTATATACATATATATCGCAATAGTTCAAACGAAACGACAGTGTTCAACATCGATTATTTATTAAAGCCGTCGGAATATTATTAACATGTCGATAACTTCACATTGAGTTTGCATGAACGATTAGCGGCAGGGCCGCCCCCCAGACAGATGAAAATGGACCGAAGACAATTAATCAACAATTTGAAGCCTTCCTCGACTTCAGCTACAACTACTACTCACCCTCATTGCACGCCTTTCACCCTTCCTTCCAACGGAGTTGTCAATCTGGGCGCATCCGAGTATTTCACTCTCACAACCAATGCTATCTTCAGTCCCGAATGCACAGGTACGGCCGATATTGTCCTCACCAATGCAGGCACTCCCACTTCGTTCGTCGATCTTCGTGATCCCTTCTACGCTTCCACGATACCGGCATGTTACGCACTCGCCGCCACGACTGTGATTGCATATATGCTAGTCATAATGCTTTTGATTACCCCAAGAACATTTCTCGTCCAAGGCGCCGTAGTTTTAGGACGGCGCGGATTCACCAATGGTCCTTCCGGGAGTGATGCTGGGATTGGCATCGGTGGACGACCTTGGCTACAAAAGGTTGCAGCATTAACAGTTGCAATTTCTTTAACTATTGCGACAGCAGACACATTCCGTGTCGCGGAACAACAATACGAGCTTGGGCTTATGAATGCGACGGCCCTACAAGAAGAAGTCGAGGGGGGCATGGAACTCAAGATCATTCGCATCATATCGGACACCTTCCTGTGGCTAGCGCAAGCCCAAACTCTGATAAGATTGTTTCCACGACAGCGGGAGAAAATTATAATCAAATGGACCGGATTTGCTCTGATTACACTGGATGTTTTATTCAGTCTCCTCAACAATTTTGTCTACAACGGCAATTCGCGACCCCGCCTTTTTACAGATGCTGTGCCCGCCTTAGCTTACCTCTTTCAACTTGCCCTAAGTCTGCTGTACTGCGCTTGGGTCATATACTATGCCATTTCCAAGAAGCGCTACGCGTTTTATCATCCGCAAATGCGGAACATATGTTTGGTGGCATTATTATCATTGGTATCAGTGCTAGTACCTGTGGTCTTTTTCGTTCTCGACATATCAAAGCCAACGCTTGCTGCATGGGGTGATTACGTACGATGGGTTGGAGCTGCTGCAGCCAGTGTAGTGGTATGGGAGTGGGTGGAGCGAATTGAAGCTCTGGAAAGGGACGAGAAGAAGGATGGAGTGCTCGGAAGGGAAGTTTTTGATGGTGATGAAATGCTAGAAGTTACTCCAACATCGGATTGGACAAAGCGTTTCCGTAAAGATAACGATGACAAGGGAGGGACTGCTACGGGTTCTACTTGGCCAGCAATGTCTGGGCTGGCTAGTCGCTATAGATCCCATGCCACGAACGATCTCGAGACTGGATCTGGTCCTGGTCAACGCACAGGCAGGCATTTGTTGACTGTCCGTCCTCCACTTTGGCCTACTAGACCCCAGCCTGCTGCTACACCTATTAATAGGGCGGATACAGCCAGCGCCGAGAGCACTGCATATACAGTGAGATATCATCCTATAAGTGAAGCAACTCCACCAATAGGTACTAGGGATACAACACTCTCGAGAAGTAACAGTGAAGCTATATCCATTAGCAGGTCCATTAGTAATGAAGAAGTTGACTCGGATAAGCCAGTCATTCTGGAGCAGAGGAATCAAGCCCCTGCAGTCGCGGCAGGGGCTCATAATTGGCAGTGGAACTCCCTTAATCCTTTTAAGCATCGAGTCCAAGGGCCTCCAGCAGAAGTTTCGTTGCATACTGCGAAGCCTCCAACACCTTTTAGTAGTCATGAATCTTCGAATAAGTGGGATGTACGTGCTCGAATTGAAGGTTTCGCGGCAACCCAAGCAGAAAGGTTCCGTGAAAAAACACGACCTACAGTAGATACAGACCCGCTTCCTCTGACGGTGATTCCGGCACCGAGTCGAAGACGTGCTGCCGCGATGGAATCGGAGGAATCGGATACAGATTCAATCAGTCCAACGCCTGATGAATCTTCTCATATAGAGATTACCACCTCGAAGCGAGATAGACCTGCCAGAACAACCGATCCTTACACTCCCGATAGCCTTAACCAACATTCAATTACGCATCGTGGGAGCATATCATTTGCAACTGCAGTGCCACTGGAACTAGATCAACGAGTTGAAAATACCACTGCTTCGCCGACTCTTGTAGGAAGCCGTCAAACCCCTACATTTTCGAGTTCACGAAGTAGTCCTATTCAAGCTCGAAGTCCTGTCACACCGTCTCTTCCTCCAATTATAGATGGTTTACCAGTAACAACTATACCGGCACCGCCGCGACGGCCGAGGGCGGAGAATTCTTGACATAGCAATTCTGGTATGATTCTGATTTGAGCATGAGCATAAGCGTGGCGTTAGGATTTGAGCATTTGTATATTGATGTATTGGGACACCCAAAAAGGAGTTTCCCCAAAATTACGGCCGGATTATGGGAGGAGGGAAAAGGATATGGATATAGATACCACAGCACAATGTATACGAACTACGATTACATTATACATATAGTAGTAATCAAAGCATGAGACCACGAATCTCATAATGGAGTATTGTTTCAAGCATAGTGAAGAATTAGCAAGCCGATTAGATGTGAATTCCAAAGATCCCCCCTTTTATTTTCGGAACAATAATTTTGCCAAGAATATCTACGTAATTGAATTGATATTTACGGTGTAAATTGGAAAGTGGGAGTCTGATAACTACGAGGCCAAAAACTACGATGCCAAAAACTACGAGCTCAAAATTACAGGGCAAGAAACTGCGAGCCAAAAACCACGACTAGACCAATGAGTAGCATTTTGAAGACAGGGGTGGATGCTCCTTTCATGAGGATATCCAGATCAGAAGCAGTAGCATTCTTTAATTAGAGTACCTGGTACCCTTTTGGGTGTCGATTTCAAGCATATGCATGCATGTTCAAGATTCGAAGTCCCGTTTGCGATTTAGACATGACCGAATATGAATACAATCATGGCATTGATGATGTAAAATCCCTAAAGTTGCATTGTTCTGTTGAATTATCCTTTGATGAATGATAACAGGGGAATGCCCAAAGTGATGTCGGATGGTGGAGATGGATGTCCGAGGATCCTAGACGAATTTTTAAGTGAGCATGTTGTACGTACCGAGTAGTTGTTCGGGATGCTCATAAAAAAGTTGTATCGTCCCCCAAGCAATCGATTCATTGAAGTTTCTACATTTCTTTTCAAATCGTTGCATGTTTCTTAAGATTGGCTGAACCATTGCACATACTTCTTCTGTAATTGACCACTTTCTTCTGGCATTCGGGGAGTTGTAAATCAGATCGGTTTACAAGGAGAGGAAAGTTCATTGATTCACAAAGATTACTTGGATTGTTCATCGTGTTTCCAAATATGCCTTCTACGACGGAATCTTTCCCGCAGCTGGTATCGTCAGCGAAGCAGGACAAATTGACACCACTCAATGCGCCGAGCAGTATTGAAAAGCCGAGAATAAGAAGACGTTCTAGTGGGTTAGGTGGTGAAATTAGAGCTGGAGATACCGGTGCGCCGGCTTTTGCTACAGTCGATGTCAGACCACCCTCTCCCGGGGCAATTAAGGTCAGTACTTTCTATTCCCTGTTTTTCCTTCTGCGGATGATTGCAGACACTGATGGATGTATTGGTATTTAGGCGCAGGCAGATAGAGATCGAAAGAAACCATATTCGAAAAGGCGGAAAGCAAAGACACTATTGCAACAATATAAGAGATATGCATTGAAGCATACCTGGGCTACACCTCTAGCTATCATCGCAGCCGTCCTCTCCTTATACGCCATCAATCCTTCGAAATCCAATCCCCTACACTATTTCATTTTCCCAGCTTACGAACTTCCTCGAGAGGAAGGGTCGGACCCCGGAGCACCAGTTCAATATGGCAAAGGGCCGTGGGATTTTGCTTTGGTTTCTTTCTACATTGTGGTTTTATCCTTCACTCGCGAATTCATCATGCAGAAATTCCTGAGACCATTGGCTCGTAAGAGTGGATTGAAGAGTAGGGCTAAACAATCAAGATTCATGGAACAAATGTACACTGCGATCTATTTTGGGTTCCTCGGTCCTTGTGGTTTATACGTCATGAGTCGAACCCCGGTTTGGTATTTCAATACACGTGGAATGTATGAGGGATTCCCGCACAAGACACACGAGGGAATGTTTAAATTCTATTACTTGTTCCAGGCTGCATACTGGGCGCAACAGGCTCTAGTTTTATGTTTGGGCTTGGAGAAGCCTAGGAAGGATTATAGGGAGTTGGTTGGACATCACATTGTGTCTCTGTTCCTGATTGGGTTGAGCTACCGTTTTCATTTCACATATATGGGTTTGGCTGTTTATGTCACTCATGATATTAGTGATTTCTTCCTAGCGGTATGTTTACAATTTCCTTGTGTCCTAAAACGTACAGCTTGGACTAACAATTTTCTAGACATCCAAAACTCTCAATTACTTAGATCACCCTCTTGTAGGACCTTACTTCGCATTCTTCATCGCTGCCTGGGTCTACCTCCGTCATTACCTCAACCTCAGAATTCTCTACTCGGAATTCAATGAATTCAAAACCGTCGGTCCTTATGAATTGAACTGGGAAACCGAACAATATAAATGCGAACTCTCACACGTCATCTCTACCACTCTACTCGCTAGTTTACAAGCTCTCAATCTTTTCTGGCTCTTCTATATTCTGCGCATCGCCTACAGATTCGTTTTCATGAGTATCGTGGAAGATGATAGATCGGATAATGATGAGAATGAATTGGCAGAAGAGATGAGATTAGATGCATTGGCAAAAGAGGGGCTTGATGCCATGGCTGCTAAGAAGGTCTTAGAGGAGACCCCTCATCCAAAGATTAAGCTGAATGGAAATTCTATTAATGGGAGGGGTACCGGGGTGGAATTGAAGACGGATGGAGTTACAAATAGGAAGGAAAATGTTAGGTTGGATTCTTGAGGTGAATTGGAGGGTAGTGTTGGAAGAGGATATGATTTGGCCAAAGCAGGAGAACTCCGAGGTTTGGAAGTAGAAATAGGGCCAAGCTGGAGGAAACTGAGGATTGGTGGAAATGGTCGAAATCGAAAGAGTCGGACATCCATGGGAGTCTCATCTCAGGGTTGTGGACTCGGAGGAGAAAATATGATATGAGTATACGATACTCATGATTAATGCTAACGTTCAACTACCACGCAAATGGATCCATGGCCGCTTATGGGTATGGGCGGGGGCGGGGGCTTATGTATATATTAGCTACTGAATAACTTATCGCTGTATGGATATTTTCGTGTACACAATCGTTTTTGGGGAGAACCTCTGGTATTGCTTTTTGGGATTTTGGATTTTGAAAGGTGGAGAAGGGGGGTGGGTTGGAGGATATATACTTGAGGGAGGACGTTGTTGTTGTTGTTGTTCTTGTTGTTGATGATGGAATGGATAAAGATATATAGTTTTAATTATATTATGATCTTATGATATGGTATGATGTTCTTTTTTGAATCATTTTGGTGGTGATTCTTTGTGTGGTGATTTTTTGTGAAGAGAGAGAGTGTGTGAGAGAGATGGATTTGGAAAGTTGGTAGATGGGGGTGAGAGGTGGGAGGTGGGAGGTAAAGAGGAGTGAATTGAAGGGGGTAGATGGGATGAGATCGGATGGGATGGGATGGGATGAGATCGGATGGGATGGAATAGGATATTGAGAGCGATAGGTATTTAGATATTAGGTGTGAGGATTTATATCGGGATTGTATTAGAGAGGGGGGAGAGGGGAGAGGGGAGATGGGAGATGGTGTATGATTGATTAGAAAGGGGAAGGAATTCTATGGCAAGATGGTTGGTAGATTAATTATTGTATGTGAATTTTGATAATGTTTATATTTTGGATTCAAGTGGAAATGGAAATGGAAATGGAAATGGGAAAAGGAGATGGGGAGTAGGAAGTTAGATTGGTGGGTTTGATGTGTTATATATATATATATATATATATGTATATCTACTTGATAAGAAGGGGAAGGGGAGGGAAGGGGAAGGGGAAAGTGGGAAAGGAGGGGAAAAGGGGGAAATTTATGAGTAGTGGATCTTGGAGGTAGGTAGGGAGGAATGGAGGAAGGGAGGGAGGGAGCTCGTTTATTGTAGAATGGATAGATTCTTGGAGGATGGAGTTGTGCGGGTGAAGTTGTGAGGGGTAGGGATGGGGGAAGGTGCTGTGTGGAATGATGTGGATTGGGGATGTGGAGTTTGAAGAGTTTGAAGAGTTTGGAGTTGTGAGATTGGGGATAGGGGATAAGGGATTGTAGGGATTGTTTGGGGTAGATGTATAGGTGGTGGACTTTATGATGGGAAGGAAGATGATGACGATGGTAATTATTGTGTAGTTATTCATCTTTCCGTTCTATATATGGTATTGTGGGTACGAGGTTCTGATATCATACAGAGGGGAGAAAGGAGGGGGTGGATGAAAGGTTACGGAAAGTTGCTTGGTTCGTTGCAGCGGGGTAACTTGTGTTAGTTCTGTGATTTTTATAAGGAATGGAGTAGAGTGGGAAAGTTTGGGGTAGGAGGAGATGGGGATTAGAGTGATTGGCTGGATGGCTGTTGTGGGTGAGGGGAGGAGAGAGAAAGAGTGCATTCGGGTACTAGGTAGGTAATATCAAGATACCTGCTTTCACGAGAAATCGAAACAGACTCGCTTCGCAGAATTTGTAAACTTGCAATTTATTTTCGAGTGAGTTTCGGGGAAGAATGAATGGTAGGTAGGTAGGAGATTGTGATGGGATTTGTGACTTTGATATCAGATGTTCATGCTTGGAGTAATCTACGTGTCAACATTAAGTGTCCCTAAATACACTTTATGTTCTTATTCCAATAGTGGCGAGTATCACTATAAACTTGTGTATGTAGATAATATCTTTGCATACCCGTCAAGAGCGAATGAGGTAAATATGTAAATCACATCGTCCATATTGTCTTGATGATAGTAGAAGGAAGCCATACCTGGGGTGCGAATGCGAGTCTGAAAAATGAGAGTGAGAGATCTCTATTGGATGGCTACAATGTTGTTTCGAGTATACATTCAGTATTAGATGTGGGAATGAGATGCATGGTAGAGAAATGAAGGAAAATGGGCAATGAGATGGAAGATGTAAACGAGAATCAGCGGATCATGAGTATTTGTTCTTTTGCCTCTTTGTCAAAAGCCCCTGTTGAAAGTTCCAGGGTCGATAATGGAAATTACTCACGTCTCAGCGGATGTCTTGCTTCGTGTTTTTTTGTGATTAAGTGCCGTGTTGAACATCCTGCAGGCAAGATTCAAGCTCGTGGCCACGAATTGAGGATTTCACGGGATGGAAATTTGTGTACTGGCGAGGGTGGAGTGAAATGGGGTAGAGAACGGAAGGGAGAGGGTGTATATCTTTGAAAGGAGGAGACTGATGATGGGAATAATAGTGACATATGGTGATGTCAAACGTGCAAAGATTCGATATTCCAGATTGACTTTCTTTGCAAACTTTGAGTGTGCTCAGCTAACCATCTGGTAGGTAGCTTGTATGTCAAGTATCTTGAGATCAGATCTTTTAGTTTACATGTACTACTATATCCGATGATCATTAATGATAGATTTTGAGACTACGTATCTCGCCATGAAAAGAACAAATCGAAGCAAATTGAAGCATAGCTAAACAGTGTCAACTTTCAAGACGCCCCTACAAAAGCCCAGGTCTCAAAAAGCATCAAGGAATCGTTCATTACACTACAACGAAGTATTCCTCAGTCCTCTTCAC